TAAGATAGAGGAAAACCTATAGATAAATAGAAAAGCCTATTATTAGATTAATAGATATATACTATAGTTAATACTATTATTAGATTAATAGTATATTATAAAGATAAACTATACTATATAACTACTATTAAGTTAGTAGGAGTATAGAGATATCTAACTACTATTTAATTAGTAAGATAGTATAATTAGTAAAACTAATATATAATAATATATAGATAAAAGGAGTATACTAGTTTTAGTAGAATAATTAATAGGAGGATAGTTTATATATATAGTTAATTTACTTAGTTTATAGGTTTAATTATTATTAGATTATTTTAATAGGTTAATTAGGTTTTTTATTTAGATTATTTTAACTATCTATTAATATATTAATATTAGGATAATATTATTCTTAGGAGAGAGTAGTTATTATATATAATAGGTAATCTAATAGATTAATAGATAATCTGATAATTAGCTAGAAGCTCTGATAATTAGCTAAAGGCTTCTTTAGAGTAATAATAGATAGCTTATTATAAATAAAAACTTAAGCTTATTATTATCTATTTACCTATACTATTTATATTATAACTAGCTTACTCTAATATATATTTAAGATAAAGAATAGAAGGGTAATTAAAATAATAATAAATATATTAGATTTCTACTTCTATAAGAAAATAAGTAATTATTTTATAATTATTTAATAGTAACTAGAGATAGCTCTATTTATAAATAACTAGAATAGAGATATTATCTTTATATAATATATTAGTTAAATTATTATATTAAATATCTAATTAATCTATATCTTAGAGATATAGTAGAAATAATATATTAATTAGTATAATATAAAATATTATATTACTAAGTAGTATTTTAATATTAGTTAAATTAAGAGCTTATATAGATAGATCTAATCTAAATTAGATAATTAAATCTAATAGTTTTATATAAATAGATAGAAGAATATATTAGAGTACTTTAAATTATTTATAACTACTAATTAAATACTTTAATATACTAGTATTCAGAATAATATCTTAAAAAGATATCTTATTATATTAACTTATAATAAATAACTTATTAATATTATTAGTTTTAATTAATTAGCTATAAAGATCTTTCTTTATTAGATTATAATAAGTTAATTATTCTACTAAGATTAATATAATATCTAATTTATATTCTAATAGAAACTATATATTATAATAATATTAGTTTATATTAATATTTAGTTAAGTTTAATTATCTAATAGTTTAGCTTATAATAGTTATAATTTTCTATTTAATAGTAATAAATATCTATTAAGTATCTACTAGTATTAGAGAAATATATTAGATTTATTATCTTTATTAGATTAACCCTTATACTATATAAGAAATTAATAATATACTTTAAAAGTCTATTTAAATAAGTAAAATAATTTTTTATAATAATAATATATAGTTTTTTATTTATTATTAGAGTATTTAATTAATTAATAGCTAATTTTATTATAGATATAGTACTTCTTAATATATTATTATTAATTTCTATTTTATTAATTAAAAGGTTTTTTATTTAATAATTTACTATATTATTATAAGTTTTAATAATTATATTAGTTATTATATCTATTACTATAATATATTTAATTAGTAAAGTATCTATTATTAGATTTATTATTAATAGGGTTATTATTATCTTTTATTTCCTAATAATATATAACTTATAGTTAGTAGTTTCTAATCTATATCTAGTAGTATATAATCTACAGTTAATAGCTTATTATACTAATAGTATTATATAGTTTATTATATATATCTTTAAATATCTTAGTAGATTAGAAAATACTTATACTATATTTAGATATATTATAATAATAATTAATTAATTAGTTATATAATATTTTATTAAATTAATAATTAGGTAGAAGTATATATTATAATTTAATAAGATATTTTATAAGCTATTTAAGGGATTTAGTCTTTAAATAATTAGAATCTATATTAATTATATATCTTAGTATAATTATATACTATTTAGATAAATAAAGCTATTTTTATTAATCTATTTTAAAGTATATATATAGTTTATTAGTTAAATTATTATATTTATATCTATAGTTATATAGATAATTATAATAAAACTCTTCTACTTATTCTTTAAATATAACTTTAAATATATTAGTATATTTAGATTAATAAATACTAACTTTCTAATATTAATTAATAAAAATTAGTAACTTTATATTTAATATATTAAGTATATTATTATTATACTTTATATTATTAATATATAGCTTCTATAGATCTATTAATTTCTTTATTTTAATAACTATAATTAGATTATCTAGTAATAGATTATTATATTTATTAAATAGAATATTATTAAAAGAAATTAGTTAATAATAATTAAATAGTAATCTATTTAAATCTAGTAGTTAATTTATATAATTCTGATTATTATATAAATAGTCTTAATCTTAATTATATAATCTACTATTTAATATATTAAGTAGTATTAGATTATTATTTTATATAGTTAATATATAATAGTTTTATATATTCTTAGTCTATTAATTATATTAGTTTTAGATATCTAATACTTTAATTCTAAAGTTTTTAATTATCTAATTATAGATAATCTCTATATAGAAGTTAGTATTATTCTTTAATAGTTTATAGAAGTCTAGATATTTATTACTAATATTATTTATCTCTTTATTAATTTATAAATAAAATAAATTACTTAATATTTATTTAATATTAATTTTAATATAGATACTATTCTATTTAATAAAAATACTATTAATAAGGAGGAATTATTATAATAATTCTATTAGTTTTCTATAATTAATAAGTTAGTTAGTAGTTTATTATTTAAACTTATTAGATATAATTTTATAAAAAGTTTAGTTATAGTACTATATTCTCTCCTATAGGATTATTATATATACTATATATAATACCTTCTGCTTAGATATTATAATTATTAATATAAAATTAGTAAGATTTCCCTATAATAGAGTATTAATATATTAATAGAGAATAGAAAGAATTAGAGTTTTATTAGATTAATTTAAATTTAAATTTATTATTATTATTTAACTAGACTATATATCTTAGAGTAATTAATCTTTAGCTTCTTAATTACTAGATTCTAATTCTATTATACTATTTCTAGTTAGTTAATAAATAAATTTAATATATTAATATATTAGTATATTAATATAATAATATAATAAGAGAATAAAAAATTAATAATATAATAAATTATCTAGAGAAAGAAATTAAAAAAAGAACTATTAGTTACTTCTAGTAATAAGTAATAGATAAGTAAGAAAATAGTTTAATTTAATAAATTAATAATACTTTAATTTATAAATATATTAGATCTTAGTAGAAACTAGTTAAATATAAATAAACTAATAAAAAATAAGAGATAAGGGGTTTAGAGAATATAGTAATAAGATTACTAGGTATTTAATAGATTAATATAATAAATATATAAGTAGGTAAAAATATATATCTAATATATAGAAATATATAGAGAGTAGATTAGATCTATTAAAATAAAGAAATAGATAAATAGAAGAATAAGAAAATAGGTAAATAGAATAAAGAAATTAATAATAAGATATCTAGATCTCTTTATAGATAGTTTTAATAATCTTTCTAGCTAAATAAAGATTAACTATACTATAGAAAAATAAATAGATATTAATCTAATCTATTAGTCTATCTTAATCTTCTAGATTAATTAGTATAGTTTAATAAGGGGCTATATAGTAAAGTAAAGTAATAATTAAAGTAAATAAATATAATAATTAGGATAAAAGCTATCTATTAGAAGGTTCTAACTGAAGGTTAGATAAGTATATATAACTAATTAATAAGATCGGATATTAATAAACCGATATCTAATAAGGATATCCACACAAAATAAACAAAGATACAGGGAAGAGTTTTAGGGCTGAAGTATTAGGCCCTCCATAATATCTCAACGAATAGAAAGCTCAACCCACGTCACTGAGGCTGTTCTGGACCCTCCACAGCCGTAGACGGCACTTAACTTGGGAAGAGGCTATCGTGAACAGATTTAGAAAGAACGGTTCTTTATTAGGCAGTGGGCTTCGACGTCGGTGTTATCCAACCCTCCCAATTTCCGTGTCAGTGCTTCGAGGAGCTCTGTGTCCTGAGTCTTCCGGTCAGGTTTGTTACTGGCATCTAGCACTGAGATACGAAGCTCATCACTCGTTGAGAACTGTTTCATGCTATATGGGACAATATAAGTTTTTTGTTACTTGAATCATTTGAGAGCACCCTTTGAATTGTTCAAGCCAATCTCAAGTACATTTCATATGATAGATATAGTTGACTTATTATCAATTTTAAAATGTAACTTAACACGCGCCAGATTTACCCATGATTTTCCATGTAGGAAATAGTTAGTGAGAAAAGTAATTTCGCTAGATTGAAAACAACTGGTGACTGAAGAAGGACGACTGGCAAGCACATCCGGAGGCCCAAATAAAGATGAGACAAGAGGAATCTATCGCATAAGCAGCAGCTATCTCAAAAATCTTATGGCTTATGGAAAGGATTCCCCCCTTATTTATCCCGTATGATGTGGATTGGAATTTGAGGGAGCTGTTGCATTCGATCCTCTGTACCCGAGGTTGTGGGGGCTTAAGCCTTCAGGATGGACGTAAGCGACACCTCAATGCTACGAGAATATGTATCGGCAATGCAGTACGACCCGCCTCATAAGGCGTTTTAATATTGGTTTAGAAATGATTTACGGCGCCAGCCACACACGGGCAGTGTTGGACAGTATCCTACTTGTCAGCTCTCCATTGGCTGACACCCGCGAATCCTTTTCCCAAGTCCCTCCATAATTCCTACGGCTGAAAAATGTCCGATGATAAACATTTCCACTTAAGTATTGCCTTCATCTAGAGCAAAATTTGTGTTGCCTGTAATTTTAATCAGTCTTCCGATCGCTGTCGCAACTTACTAGCCCAGGTATCAAGATGACATATGAGAGTCAGACCGATAGGTCTGTGTCGCCCATCCAGTCCATGTTTGAGGAGAGCATCACAGCTCCGAGTGCTGTGAGCTTGATAAAGTCGACTGTTGATGAGTCAATCACCGAAGCCTTCGCTCACGAGGTTCCTGATGAAGTCAGATTTCATCACCAACCGAGTCCCTTGTCTCGGGCCATGACAATTACCACAGATATTTTCGCACTCTCTCTCGGCTTCGGTCATTTTGTATTTGTCTGTCTAGTAGCATCATACCACGGCCGTCCCATGGATTTCAAGTATGGACAATTCCAGGCTATCCTGACTACGGTAGGTTTGTTTAAAAAGAAAAGCAGAGATACACACAACACTGATATAACATAGGCTGCCCCAATCTTCCCCATGGTATATGCATTTATTATGGGAAGACTTTTCTACCATTCTGCCCGGCTGCAGCTCGAAATGGGGAGCTCACTTGGTACTCTGGAGCAACTTATTGGGAGCCAAACAGTAGGCGGGGCTGCTGCTATTCATCTCAAAACAGCAGCTTTTAACCCTCTAGCTGTGCTGATTCTTGCTTTATGGTCATTTTCTCCTCTCGGCAGTCAGTCGCTACTACGTATTCTTCATCAAGAAACGCCGTCGGACGATGCAAACTTTGTCTATCTGAACACTCAGAAAGCCTATCCCAATGAAATACTCAACGGCTCGATGGAGGATTCATACATTAGGAGCTTGAATTTGGATGTAAATATTTCGACTGGACCAACTGATCCTTGGGGGCATACTAAAATTCCCTTCTTAGAGCCGGCGGCTCTGAATCTAAAGGATAGCCAATCTTGGCATGAGCTACCTTTCAACCAGACGAGGTCATACTCAGCATTATTTGGTGTCCCGATATCTCATCTACTCCCCGGAATCAGCATGGTATCCATTGAAACAACCTATGTGGATTTGGAATGCGAGCCTCTTGAAACGAAATGGGAACCTGTCGAACCTTCCCTGTACGAGACAAAGCTGAATCAAACAGCTCTTCAGGAAATTGCTTTGCACACAGGAAGAATGCTTCGGAACTACACTGGAGTGATTGCTAATGGAAGCTGGTACGGATATCAGCAGCACTCGGAGATCTTCAAAACACCCCGCTGGAATATTGCCCTGAACCGTTTCATTGGTACAGATTGGCTCGCCTTCAGGGTGTCTAGTCTCGATGTTTTCCAAAATGAAACCGCAATCGAGGCAGGCTTGACCAAAATTCTCGTTCAGTTTGACTTTCCACCGGTTCGGGACTTTAATGGGACAAAGGACCCCACGAAAAATTTCTTCACTAGGAGTGAGTGCCGCGTATCGCAAAAGCATGTGGAGACTCGACTGTCTTGTTCAGCTGTTCCTCAAAAGCTCCGACCAGACTGTCACGCGGTAGCTCAGCGCCCGTCTCTCAAACCGCACCCGCCTGAGAATCTTTCCATTCTTTCTCATCCCCAGATATTCGGTGCCATTTCACGGCTCATCCCCTCCGTGTTACTGGATGGGAAAGGAACTCTAGACTACATCTTCAACATGGCAGATCTACAAATGATTTCAGCAACCAATCTCAGTACACGTTTAAGTCAGGCCATCAACACGTTCTACCTGGTGCACCAAATCTCTGAATTTATGGACCCCCTGGAAGACCCATCATACGAGCTTGGCGCTCCCTATTCGGCTTGGACTGTTGGCAATGCCACCAGAACAGATGTCTATTATGTTTACTTGATAAACTGGCCTTGGATGGTTGTCTGTCTGGTCTCCTGTCTAATTCTTACGCTTGCAAGCATCGTGGGAGTGGGATTTGTACACTTAGGGCATGGGCCGGAGGTGCTAGGCTATGTCTCTACTGCTATCCGAGATTCTAATATTGCCGGGCTACCTCCTAAAGCGGGACAAATGGATAGGGATGAATTATCCAAAATAATGAGGAAGAGGCGCTTTAGATATGGCCGAAAGCTTAATGATAAGGGGCCGCATACGGTTGGATTTGGGCCGGAGGAGGATATAATTATTCTGTAGCGAATAATTCTATCGTTTTATACTGGTTGTTCATATATTATTAGATGATGGCTATGAGATTCACTGAGTAGACAATCCTCCACTAAGTCTCCTGGACAGAAATCCCGGTCAACTGACTGCTTAGCTCCTATAGTCGGTCCTCCCCTTCCTCATCATAGGCGTGAGCAGCATACTCTGGGTCCACAACCGAGTTCACATCCTTCAAAGGCTCACCGGCACCGCATGCAACGAGGTTTTTCCCGCCCTTTCCTTCCCACGCAGGAGAAACTGCAGCCCATACGGTTGTTGTCGATCCTTGAGCGGGGGACTGCATGATATCCAGCACTCTTGTCGTTCTTCCATTGCTCGCTAGTGATAGGGTCTAAGTCGTCAAGAATGCCAGTGCAGATCATTTCGGGGTTGGCTGCGCTGGCATGGACCCCTCGTGGACCGTATTTTCGGTCAATGTAATTTGCCATCCACAAGTTTGCGGTTTTGGACTGTCCGTATGCGGCCACATACATCGTCAGTTTTGGTCAAGTTTAAATCATCCCACCAGATCGAGGAGAGCCGATGTGCACTCGAAGTGATGGCCACAACCCGTGAATTGAATTCGTATGTGCTGGAGCGGATAAGAAGCGGCAGTAATTGGGCAGTTAGAGTATAATGGCCCAAGTGGTTGATGCCAAATTGCATGTTGAATCCTTCGTTGGTCCTGCTCCCTGGAGCTGTGGTCATAATGCCTGCCATAACGAGATATTAATACTTTCCTTTTTGCGTGGTGGTATGTATGCGAGACTGAGAATAAATAATCTCATCGGTCGAGAACTTACCAGCATTTGTGATGAGAATATCGAGAGTTGTGGACAGACTCTTGAACTTCGGCTTGACGAAATCCAAGGAACCAAGGTCAAGGTCAAGAAGTTGAATCTTGCCTATGCCCTTGTATGACTTTTTGATGTCCTCAATCAAGTCTTGAGCCTATGTAGCTCCAAGCGCGGTGATGTAAACATCTGCACCAGTCTCGTGCATTGCACGCGCTGTCTCCAGCCCAATTCCTGAGGTGGCGCCGGTCACGAGAACGACCTTACCGGTGAGCTTGTTTTCGAGGCCGTAATCCTTGACGATGTGTGACCCTGTAGGCCTGCCATCGTTGGGGCCCTGGTGGTTTGCGTATTGTTTAGCGTAAGGAGAGGAAGAGATGGACATTGTTTAAGAATTACACCCTTGAGAACTAATAACCGTCCACCCTCAATACGAATCATCTTTCCATGCTCCCAGCCCCTGTAAGGCGCTGATAATGTCGCTGATTCAAGTTGTTCGAGAGTTTCACAGGGCTTATAGGCTTTGGAAGCTCTAGTAGGATATGCTGGATGCGGCCAAGACAAAAGGGGAGGGAGGCACCGGGGTTGCAAAATCGGTTTGGGACTGGAGTGAGGCGCAGGTCAAGCCATATGTCTGAGAGTAAACAATGGAATAGGGACTACTGTTAATAATAGATCCTTGGATTTTTGATGTTGTTAAAATAATGGATATGCTAGATTTTCGATATCTCTGTTAACTTCTCCTATTTTAGAATCCTCCAATATTAGACTTGATGGCTCTTGCGTATTGACGTGAGATATCCTTTGCCCATCCATCAAAATTGCAATCAATGGTCTAGTACGCATGAAGTACTAGGACACCAGGGCATTGTGTTGAGATGTCAGGTCTGGCATCTTCTATTTTCTCATTGACTTTATACTCAAACTCTCTCTCTCCTGTATTAGGGTACTAGAGGATACCAGAAAGTTATATGCTTACGGGGCACCTGGAATAGTAAGGTATTTTTTATTTATGTTGTCTAGTCTGAATTTGATGTTACACCCTTGAGAACTAATAACCGTCCACCCTCAATACGAGTCATCTTTCCGTCCATGAACTCTCCGGCTTTACTCATGAGCCAAAGCGCACAGCTGACCATGTCTTCTTCTGTTCCCGCTCGTTTTGCTGGGGTCTCATTAACGAGATGAATGTTAGAATTGCTGTCATTGGTTGTCATTCCCGAAGGTACAATCCCAGGCGACATGCCATTCACGCGAACTAGGGGAGCATTTAGTCTCTGTTTGAAGTTGCTTCTTATCGATCTCGGTACTCTTTGCTTACTGTAAAAGTCGGCAAATTCCATCGCCATAATGCGTACCAGATGATCAACGGCCGCTTTCGACGTCTGGTAGCATGGAACAAACTGATTATTGTGTACACTTGCGGGGCTACTGAATAGAATGACGCTTCCTCTTCCGCCCCCCTTCGCGGCAGCCTTGCCGAGCAATGAGATAAGGCCGGCCGTTAGGAAGTATGGTGCAAGAACATTTAGTCGCATAGTGTGCTCCCAGCCACTGTAAGGCGCAGATAATGTCGCTGATTCAAGTTGCTCGAGAGTTTCACCGGGCTTATAGGCTGTGTTGTTCATGTACCGAATCGCGGCACAGTGAATTAACGTATCTAGACACTGGACCTTTGACTTGACATTTTCCACCACGGCTTGAACTCCACCTTCTGTAGAAAGATCACCGTGGATTCTATAACGATCGGTAAGCTTTTGAGTCATATGCTGTTTTCAATTTACAATGTACTGACGTTTGGACTTGAGCGGGATTAGAGCTTGAAGAGCTGATTATTTTCTCCAGCTCAAGCTTTGCCTTTGAAAGAGCCTCTTCATTAACATCAATCAGAATGACGCTGCATGAATTAGCCACACAACCTCGCGAGATCATGAGCCCTATCCCAGATGCTGAAGCCAGTATTAGTATGGGATTGGGGGTTATGTGAAGCGCGCAAAGCAACTTCGGGCCCAAGGGCATTCCAGCGACTCACCTCCACCAGTGACTGCCACGCATCGGCCCTTCACATCGAAAAGGGCCCCAATTTGCAGATGTTCTGCCATGGTTAGTAGTATGATGTTGAGTGGTTGGGATACTGATTGTTAATATTCTCTGTAGGCCTATTATCATGGTCAATGGGGAACCAATGCTCCGCTCTGGCAACTTCTAGTTCAGTGCACACTTCCGGCAAACGGTCATTCGGCTGATCGCATTTCCCCGTTAACTGCTCAATCTTTAACGGCGTTGTGTGTTGCGCAGGGATCAGCATCACCCCATATGGATCGGTGTATCGCGAGTAAATCTAGGAAATCAACGGCCATCGCCGTCTCGCCGATGTGGAGATGCCACTCCAAAGTGTAGCTTCCGCGGTACTGCTCTGCTCTGCTATGCGCGAATAGGGCGATTAACTCTGGAATATGAATCGCCGCGTTCGAGGAAAGCTCTAAAGGATGCATGCTTTATCATATCTTCGCATGTCTTGTCGTCCTTTCTCGCTCTCTAAGCGCGTCTAAATGTTGTCAGGCCAAACCCATCACCGCCATGATTGCCAATATTGGCCACAGCCTCAATGGGCCAATGGCATTTCTCGCATTGGTTGTGGTGATAGTTGTTTCCTTCCTGGTGTATCTCAATTTCTTCTATGTCGATATTCCCAAGATCGATGGCATTCCAGAGATTCCCAATGGAGAGCTTTTGGCTGGCCACCTTTACCAGCTCGGAGCTGATCATGCCACTACTGCCGAGGCTTGGTCTGCAGAGTATCGATGGCCAGTTTTCCAAGTCCGCATGGGCCGCCGTCGGGCAATCTTCCTCAACTCTTTTGAGTCTGCCCGAGAATGGTTGGTGAAGAACAGCACAGCCACTGTCGATCGGCCGTGGTTCTATACCTTCCATGGTGTCGTTTCAGCAACTTCCGGTACGTTTTCTACCCCACAATCCCTTCCAAGTGCTCATAGACTTACGATCGGCATACGATAGCTGCAACCATCGGTACCAGCCCTTGGAATGAAAGGACAAAGAAGCAGAGGCGTGTTGTTGGCTCATTCACTACGGGACCCGCCATGGCGCGGGCACGTCCCATGATTGACATGGAATCTTCAGCCGTCATCGCGTCACTGTATCGCGATACTGAAAAGGGCCAGCAAGAAGCTGTTCCTCACGTATACTTGAAGCGCCTCGCCTTGAATATGATGCTCAAATTTTGCTATGGGACAAGAATGAACTCGGTCACAAATCCACTCCTGTTGCAAATTCTTGAAGACGCTACTACAATTGCTAGGTAAGGGACCTGACTTTCATCGATTAGCTAAATGAGACTGATGATTTGAAGCTTCCGTTCAACCAACTCAAATCCTCAGGATTTCATCCCTCATTTACGCTACTTGGCAAAGAGCGATCGTACTGCTACAGCTCTTGAAGTTCGCGCACGTCGTGACAACTGGCTTAACTCGATGCTGGATAAGGTGAAGTCAGCACTCAAGCCGAGTGAAAGTGACAAGAAGCCGATTGCGGAGATGCTGCTCGAAGACAATACTGAGGGTTTGACACAAAGTAGGCTTCCTCTCGTATACTGTGCGTTCTCAAGCTGACAAAGATGCAGTGGATATCAAGACAATTCTGGGAGGGTTGATGTCCGGAGGCTTTGAAACTGTCTTTTCAACAGCCATCATTACGATCGGACTTTTGTCAACCCCTGAGGGACAGATTCTTCAGCAGGAAGCATACGATGACCTCATGAGCACTTACAACTCTCCAGAGGAGGCATTCAGGGACTGTATATCAGAAGAGAAAAGTCTTTACATTACTGGAGTGGTGAAAGAATCCCTGAGATTCTATCCACCACTTAAGATTCTCCCTGCCAGACAGACCTTCAAAGAGTTCGAATATAACGGAGCGAAGATCCCAAAGGGTGTCTTAGTTTACACGAATACACAAGCTGTCAATCATGGTAATTTCTGTCGGAAGTCCTGAAACCTTACTTCTGGTACACTAACTTTGAGCCAGACAAGTCGTTATATGGGCCTGACGCTGATAAATTCCGCCCGAGGCGTTGGATCAACAAGGATTATAACGTCCCAGCACCATATCACTTCGCTTTTGGAGCGGGAGGGCGCATGTGCACCGCCGTCAACTTCTCCAACCGGGTGCTCTACACAATATACGCGCGATTGATTCTTTCGTTTCGCATTACTGAAAGCCAAACCAATCCCGCCAACACGCATTACATCCATTACAAGCGTGATCCTACCGAATCTAACTCCATTGCCTCAGAGTTTAAGGTTAGGTTCACTCCGAGAGATAAAGACGTGCTAGAGAGGTGTCTCAGCCAAGCTGGTGAGCGCTTGGCTGATTTTAATGTTGGGGAGGACTCCGAACCCCTATTGTGAGGGCGCAATCTTTCTTCAGGTTTACCAAATTATGGAGCATTACCATAAATCCTTTTCTGGATACACCAAAAGTTGTTAGAGGGAGAAGCTTCCATAGCCCTCATAAAGGGATAGCGAGATTGCATAGAGTATGGATTTTTTTTTTCTTCCAGTTCCCAATGCGATCAAAGAATAGAAAAGAATTTGTCAATGGATTATGTGCAACATTCAAGCTGCCATCCATTTATCAACACTTTAAAGGTTAATTTGAGGTGGGATGTGAATAGAATTGGGTCATACGCTGATTTGTTCATTATCTCATTTGGGTTTCACTGACAATATTTCTTTTTTTGAACTCGTCTATTCTTTATACTGTCCGTTGTTGATTTTGAAAACCATTCCATCCTTCATCACAAAATTCACGCCTCGCAACGCGGAAGGATCCTCATATGGATCACTTTCCAAAGCAATTATGTCTGCTTGCAATCCCTCCTCAAACCAGCCAAATCGTTTCCCGCAAAGATCACCTCCACAGGCTTCCCAACCTCCAACGGTGCATGACTCTAGAACATCCCCAATGGGAATACCTGCTTCGATCATCAGCTCCAACTCCCTAGCGTTGTCTCCATGATGATATGTGCCGGTATCGCCTCCGCAGGCAAGGCGAACCCCAAGCTCGTGGGCTCGTTTCACCTGACGAATGATCTGATCAAAACGCCTAGCATGCAGCTTCTCAGCAATCGCCAGCGTGGGCACCATGATCACCTTCCTTTCTACCATCTTGTTGAACATTTCGTCGGTAGCAAAATAGACATGCTCAAGAGTGTTGACGCCCGCCTCGATCGCCCCAAGTGCCCCCTCGAGGGTACAGCAATGAGCGGAGACAGGGCAACGCGCCAGTGCGGCTTCTCGTACAATCATGTCCATCTCTTCTTGCGAGAAGACCATGTAGTCCGGGTTGGGATCCTTTGGCGGGTGTGTGACGCTGGGGATATAGGGATGCTGCTGTGCTGGCGGCGATCGCATGATGCGTCTTCTGTAGTCTGCGAAGAACTTGATTATATCTGCCCCGGCAGCGACACGACGACGCACTGCCTGGCGGCATTGCTCGACACCATCAACGGCATCTGCACCAGCAGGAAGGCAGTGCCCACCCTCGGAGTTTTCTGTGCGGCACTCGAAGGACCCAGTGCTAGCAATGATGCGTGTCGCAACAAATAGCCTGGGTCCCGGGGTCAGACCTCGAGCAATTGCATCTCTCAGGTTTGCGTCACACTCTTTCATGCCTTCTGATCCTAGGTCCCTACACGTTGCTGTTGTCAGCGTTGAAGCTCTATAAAGGATGATATTGTCACAAGCAGTCTGGAAACTGTATCATAACATACCTGTACGTGGTATAGCCCGCCATCAATGCAGTCCGGCAGTGGTTAACACCACGCACAATTCTCTCGGTCATACTCTCATCTCGTTTTTGCTGGAGCGCACCAGCTTCGCTAATATACCACAGTCAGAAAGCTCGTTTAACATTTTATATGCTTTGAATGTGCATCTGAAAAAAAATATACTCACTCGTAAGAATGAAGAAATACATGGGTGTGGGCATCTACTAGTCCTGGCATAACAAACTTTCCCCTTAGATCAATATCTCCATCTCTGAACAATTCAGCGAACCGCCTTTGAGTATCGTCTCGCTTGAAGACCCTCGTGATTAAACCAGAACTAGGATCAACCGTAATGGAGACATCGTGTAGCACCTTTTTCTCCTTTGGATCGAACAGGGAAGAAGTATGGACAGTTCTTAGGGGCATGATGAAGGACACACAATTTGGATAAGCGTGACCTTCAGCAAGGCCACTGGTGTTTCAAAGATCATTTATTGCCGAAAATGAATTACCAGTACTTTCGGTCAGCTAGTGGATAGCTGCCGAGTGAAAGGACCGCGGATTAGGATAACCGCGTCGGCAAGGACTCGGAGTTGAGCGCCTTCTTTCAACATTTCATCGCAGATCGCCGAGGAACTCAACCCCCAGGTTTCACATCCCACGGTATCCACCTTCAAATCTCATCATCTGATATCACGAGGTGTTCAGGCTGGGGGCTGGTTCGGTGATTTAACGCTCGCGGGAAATTGTATCGATTGTGGGGAGGGGATAGCGAGCAGATGGCCGCAAGAGATACTATTGACCTTCGAAGGCCACCCTTGAAATTACGAACATTTCAGACATGCTATGCAAGTAACGTTGATACGTCACGCTTCCTACGTCAGGTAAGATAGACTACTTGAATTCAATGGAGGTCATTCTCATTTAATAAAAGTTCTAAATTGGTTAGAGAATTTGAAAGACTGGTGATGAATTGCCTATCTAAACTCTCTAAATCTGTCTCAAAATCTTGAGTAAATCCCCAGTGACCCCCATAGCAGTAACTTCCCCTCCAGCACCGGCTCCACGGATTGTGAGCGGAAGATTACCGTAGCGCTTAGTATAAAAGTTGATGATGTTATCGCTGCCTTGAAGATTGGCAATGGGGTGAGACTTCTCAAACCACTTAAGGCCAACCTTAGCCTCGCCGGAAATGATGTCCACCTTGCCGACAAAACGAACAACTTTGTTAACTTTACTTGCTTCCTCTCTTTCTTTTTCGAGAATGTGATCGAAATCAGGTAGCTTCTGGAGGAATTCTTTACTAGAAATGGCCGTCTGAAGCTCCTTTGGGATGAGGTTCTGGACTGGGAACGCTGAGGGTGATTCGATAGGAAGTCCTGCCAATCGAGCCAGGATGGTAATCTTTCTAGCAACATCCAGACCGTTGAGATCATCTCGTGGATCCGGTTCGGTGTATCCTAATTCCTTCGCCTTCTTCACCTCGATGGACCATTTGCCTCCTTGTCCTTCTGGTGGTGAGAATGAATTGAACAGAAAAGACATTGTCCCTGAGAATACGCCCTCAATAAGAGTGACTTGGTCTCCAGTCTCTATAAGCTCATTGAGAGTGGATATGATAGGCATCCCGGCTCCGACCGAAGTTTCATGGTAGACAAATGAACCTCCAGCGCTGGCTGAGGTGAAAACATCTTACCACAGCTGGTAGCTTCCCGAGAAAGCCTTTTTGTTCGGGGTAATGGTGCTGATCCCATTCTTCAAGAACTCTGGGTATGAAGCTGCCATCAGCCCGGAAGCGGTATTGTCAACAACAATAACTTTTCCAGGGGCTGCTGACAGATACTTGATGACATCAGGAATCTGCGGAGGGTCAAAACCATCAGAGTCAAGTAACGAAAGCGCATTGTCGATGTCGATATCGGAGTAGTCGTCATGACATAGAGCTCTGTCAATGATAGCGAAATAACAAAGTCGGATGCGGGAAGATGGTCGACTCTTAGCCAAGTAAGCGAGTTGCTTTAAAAAGCACGCCCCTACACCTCCGGCGCCTTCATTGAGGTTAGAACCAACTTCTTCAACTTCAAAGGGGCCAGAACAAGGGTAGCATACCAATAACTGCAACATCAACTTCCTTGGTGGTCGATGCCATTTCGCTCAGTGATCAAAATAATAAATATCTAGGATACCCTATAAGAAACAATAAGAGCAGATTGAACCCAGAACTGCACAGGTGTTATCTGACAGCTAGCCTGGGAGAACCTGGGGCTCAGTGCACTGTCTTATGCATCCGAAAACCAAGAGAATTCACAACCAGTCACGATGTACGCCGAATCAAGACATTAGATTGCCTTGGTAATTATGATAAACGAAATGACCAAGCTGTAGTACTCGCCAACCAGCCTTGACGGGAACGGCCGAATAGTCAGTGACAGTGGAGCTGCCCCAGCGTCATCGGGCGCGATGGCCACAACGACAAATCTTGACGGGGATATCCGATGCCTGAAGAACTGTTGCTGGGATCAGATAAATAACTGTTGCTTTTTAGGGGTTTATAGGACAGACAAAAAGTAGCTTTCAAGGACCAGCATTCACGAGGTCTGCTCTTTGCTGAACAGTACTCCATTACACATTTTCGTATAGTTCCCCCAATATGGCTTTTCTACCATTTACTGTGGGTTTACGTCATATCTGCAGTTCCCATCCGCAAAAGATTTTAACATTTGTGTTCAGCTCAAAGATCCATCCCTTCTTCATGAGGCCTCCCTACTGAACGGAGAATGGGTCCAGGCGCAGTCAGGGAAGCGGTTTGATGTAGAAGGCAAGCTCCCAAGATCGCGATCACCAATAACATCTTCAAAACCTATTTACTCATTTGTTTCCAACAGACCCCGGATCAGAGACAGTTTGGGCTCATTGTCCTAACAATGCCGCCGAAGATGTCGATCAATTTATCGAGACATCGCATGCAGCTTTCACTTCATATCGTCAGATAAATCCAAGAGAACGGGCAAAGATCCTCCTCAGATGGCACGAACTAATTTCAAATGCCCGAGAGGATATTGCCAAATTGGTTGTTTGGGAGACTGGAAAGCCCATGGGCGAGGCTCTTGGAGAAGTTGATTACGCTCTAGGCTTTGCTTGGTGATTTTCGGGTGAGGCCGAGCGAATCCGGGGTTCTGTAGCACAGCCGTCTGTTTCAAGCCGCCGCACCATTGTCATCAAGCAGCCTATTGGTGTTTGCGTGGCCCTTGTTCCCTGGAACTTCCCAGTGGCAATGATTATCCGAAAGGTGGCCGCTGCTGTTGCTGCCGGTTGTTCCATCGTTGTTAAGCCCTCCCCCGAGACTCCCCTAAGCATTATGGCGCTTGCAGATCTCATTCAACGTGCCGGCCTACCAGCCGGAGTCCTCAATGTTATTTCAACGGATAATGCCAATACACCAGATGTCAGTGAACGACTCTGCAAACACCCTCTTGTCCGCAAGGTCACTTTCACCGGCAGTACAGTGGTTGGAAGTATCGTTGCCAGACACTGTAGCGTGGGGCTGAAAAAACTTACGATGGAGCTAGGCGGCAACTGTCCATTCATCATTTTCAATGATGGTAACTTGGATCAAGCTTTAGCGGCTCTTATGGTTCTTAAGTGGCGTACAGCTGGCCAGGCATGCACTCACGCCAATCGAGTCTATGTTCAAAGTGGAGTCTATAAGAGGTTCACTGAGATGATAGTCGATGCCACCAAGAAACTCAAGGTTGGGCATGGGGCCGGAGAAGACACCTCCATGGGCCCTCTCACTACAGGCCGAGGGATCACGAAACTTGAATCCCATGTTTCTGATGCTATAAGTAAGGGAGGCAAAGTCCTCTGTGGTGGGAAACGACCAAATTATATGGCCAAGGGCTATTTCTTTGAGCCTACCATTATCTCTGACATGTCTGCGGATATGTTGACTACGAAGGAAGAGATCTTTGGCCCACTTCTTGGCCTTTACAAGTTTGAGACCGAGGAGGAAGTTGTCAAGGCAGCAAATGACACTTCAATGGGACTGGCGTCATATTTCTTCACAAGAGATACAAGCCGGACATGGAGAATGCTTGAGAATTTAGAAGCTGGAATAATTGGCATGAACACAGGTTAAACTTGACCATCTTCACATCACGAATTGTAAACTAACAGCCCTCGACAGGAAACTCCTCATGTGCCGAGTCTCCATTCGGAGGCATTAAGATGTCTGGCTATGGGAAGGAAGCTGGGAAGGACGTCGCAATCGAGGAATATCTCATTCAAAAGACTGGAACTCTAACAGTTGATTCAGATTAGCTACATGGATTATGCCCAATTATTAGTTAAGAAATGCTTCAACTCTGGTCATCGCTCCATATTACATTGTGGCATCACGAAGTCATGATTTCGGTGTCCTGGAATTTCTTTTGCTGATTGAGGCAATTAAGCTTACCATCACCAACTTCTTAATCGTAGGACTTCATCAACCTGTTATGGCTCTAGGGTATGTAAGATGTCTGAAAGCCGAAGCATCGGTGAACGCATGTATGGTCCAACAACAGCAGCCAAACGTAGGGAGATATCCACAGAAGCAGTTTTTGCTTAATTAATGCTAGCTTGGCTAACCTTCGCTCGCCGATGTCGCTATAGCACTGGAGGGAATCCATGATACTTCGCTTTGCTGGTAGCGGTGGAGTAATCTGCTCCACAGCATCTTGCGGGAAACTCCGAAGAACCTTCACATCTAAGCGCGGTTCGCCGATGGCGGCTTTTAGTCTAGTAGTAGGCTCTAGCTAGCATTGAGTCAAATTCATACGGTGATGGTAGTACGGTTAAATAGATAAAATAATTACGAGGCTTCATTGAATCCATGAGCGGGTATGACCTTTGAGCTTTGACATCTCCTGAAAACCCGCTATCATGACCCAGCCAACAGCCTCTCCACCAATCTGGAACGGTGTTCCTGAGATTATAGCCAGCGGATCTCCATACGAAATCGGCTTCACCCATGGAAGCCAGATTGCAGACAGAATCGCTGTCTGCATGGAAAATTACCAGCGTCTGTTTCTTGAGACAGCCGAAGCTGATTGGCCTGAGTCAAAAGCCCGCGCTGCAACATACCTTCCCTCCCTAGAGCAGAATGAACCTGATCTGGTCGAGGAAATGAAGGGGATTGCTGCGGGTGCGGGTGTCGAATTCCTGGACATCCTTGCCCTGAATCTGCGTAGCGAGATCTCCTTGACCAACTACTCTGACGGTTGCACTTCAATTTGCATGGCAAACCAGTCAACTTCAGAGGTCTTTGTCGCCCAAAACTGGGACTGGGTTGGCGAGGCAGGCCTAACAACCGTCTTTTTTGATATTTCAAAGACTGGGAAGCCTCGGATTCGGATGATGGGAGAAGCAGGAATTGTTGCCAAATTTGGTATCAATGATGCTGGAGTGGCCATTTGCATGAATGCCATCAGATGCGGTACCGTATCGAAAACCAAGCTCCCAGTTCATCTCGCCATGCGACGTGTTCTTGAGTGTCGTTCATTTGAAGAGGCTTTCGATATGCTTTCAAAGAAAGGCATTGCCTCTTGTGCTAATCTTGTGATTGGAGACAAGAGTGGCAAGATAGCCACCATCGAATGTACACCCAAGGGACTGGCACCCATCTTCCCCGACACAGGCTCCTCTGCCACTTTCCACACGAATCACCTTTGGTCGCCGAACATCCCTAAAGGAATCAAAGACCATCCATCCCCCAACTCATTCTCAAGACTGGAGCGAATCAAGACCTTGAGTGATGGCCAGGAAGGAAGCATTGCCAAGATTCGAACGTGGCTCTCCGACGAAGTTGGCACGCCTACATCTATTTGTCGATCAACGCCACCCAATACAAAGGGGATTGAGCGTATGGAAACTCTTGCTACAATTATTGTAGATCTCAAGGCTATGAAGGCTGAGGTATCTTTCGGCAAGCCGTGTCTTAACCCTCCAGTTCGAACTTTAGAGGTGTAAAACTCAACTTACGATAGTATAATATTCACAATCGATAGAAATATATCAAAATAGAGAACTCCGAATTTTATTCCGAAATTCAGTGTTATCTTGGAGTGTGCTACCGCTAGGGATAGACTTGAAATCGGGAATGCTACGTGGACCTTCAGGAGCTTAGGCAACTTGCCCTTAGATGCGTGATTTTCTATTCATGATGAATAAAAGACCCTAGATAATGCAATATCATGCTAGTTCAAAGTCTGTGGGCAGGATATCCCACTCAGGCGCCCATTCTAAGAATTGAAAGTTATCCAGCTCCACATCATCAAAGAGAAATGCCTCGACTGGCAGCTGAATATCAGATGCCACTCTCTGGTTCCACGTAAGGGAGCCATCGGATAAAAGAAGATTCCGTATCTCCTCTGATATGGACGTTTTATCGGCAATTTCATCACCCCCAGGATAATACCACGTGGTGATTTTGTCAAGAAGTGGCTGAAGTCGCCGAGCACATGCCGTTGCCTCATTCCAGCGTTCACCTATGTTTCTGAGCATCTGGAGGCATTGTGGAATGCGACTCTTGAGAAGCTCCTCGGCCAAGGGATGTATTGCATGACAATTATACAACGTCCAGCAAGCCTCCAAGGCGATAACAACAACCTCAAAAAGTATGTGGACACCATGCCAGGGATAAAATAGTCTTCGTCGGCTCTCCTGGCCATGGTAGTCATCGATCAAAACAATCGCCGCTTGGAGTACCTGCTCGCGATCTTCATTGGTGCGATTCATAAGGCGTGGCGTTGGGCGATGAATCCTCGCACGTAGATGGTGGTACTGCACATGTTTGAATTCAAGCATTCCGTATTGAGTGTAAACCTGTGCCGCCTCATACCAAGTCCCCAGGCGTGTATTAATGTCGATGATCCAAGCTTCGATACTCATGCCACTACTCTCAAGAAGGTTGTCCTCGAGGTGTAGGACCCTGTGCACCTCCGTCTCCAAGGCTCGATAGAGGCAAATATGGCTAGATGCGGACTTTCTCAATAAATCCTCGTTCGTAAACAGAGAGTTGAATCCCTCCTCAACAAATAATTCGCGCTGAAACAAGTCAGTTCCTGGATTCAATACGAAAGAAGAACAAAAGTAAAAATAAAAAAGAATCTCCTATTGCTTACCTTTGTTGTGATAGCTTCTTCTGGGAATGAAAGAGGAAGACGTAGATTCGTACACAATGACCGCTCCATCCCATAAGTAACCCAAAACAATTCCGCGCGAAGCCGGCGATGCTCAATATCAATGTTTTCAGTGCATTCCCTGTGAAGGCCAAGGTTGAGAACGATCCTCACGGCATCAGAGATACATGTCCAATTATCAACCCTCTCCGGGCACATGTGTGCATAGTGAGCGAGAAGAAGAGAAATCTGAAGTGATTTTATCTCACTCTGTTCTTCAAGTACCTGTAAATGCTTCAATGCAGAGTTAAAGAAGGATTCCGAGGCAGCTCTTGCCTGGTCTTCAGCTTTCCAAGTCAAGGTCATAGCTGATATAGCTAGAGCGATGAAGAGCACAAAATATTCGAAGTGGCCAATACCAGAGTCGGCGGGAATTCCGTTTAGGAGAAGGGAGCTAGTGTCGCCAAGTTCGTCCATCCCGGTGCGTTTCACAATCTCCTGCAGCATCGCCTCAGTGATGCAAGGGTATTGCGGCAAATGCATGTCTGCATAGTTCCTGATCATACGTGATATCGCGGAAGAGGGGATACTCTTTAGACTAATTAAGTTGCTCTTCTTAGGGTGACTTGAAGATCCGTCCTGTTCCGTGGAAGAGTGGGGGACATGAACTGAGTCAGATCCTCGGTCTCGAACAAGCGCAAGTGGAGGACAGGATGGGCGGAATACAAGAGCTGATGAGATCTTTGAATGTAAATAAGAGTTGGAACTGGGCAGCCCAAACGATATGGTGGCCTGGGCTACTTTAGATGCCATTAAGTAGGGAGTGTTCTGTGTCCCGGCCTGGAAGTTCAACACCTGGCCTTCGAGTTCGGCTACGCGGGCTTCAAGAGAACGAACGAGACTGTAAATCTAGACGTAAGCATAGGGTACAAGACCCGAAGACAAGTATACTACCTTCTCGGGACGGCAGATTTAGTGACAGGATTGAAGCCCAGGCATGCCGTCTTTGCCAACTTGCACGGTGTGCATGCGGGAAACTTGAAATCACACTGCTCTTTCAAATTAATCTTCAACTCTACAACTTAGAAGCAAGGAAGGAAGAAGGACTGAGGAATAGGAATGAGAATGGAGCTGCTATGCTCTTTGCCTTACCTTCGTTTTCCGCTGCCTACACCTAGCGCAGACCTTCGTTGACCGTCTATGTGACCGCTGCATGTTGGCGATTGGTCCAAGAACTATGTGCTGATCTTAGGAACGAGACTTGCTTGCAGCTTGCTAGTGCTGGTGAGTGGTATGGAAAGAATGAATGCGATTAAAGGATTAACAGGGGCATATCTGGTGAGATTACAGCGCTTATACCCCCACATTAACTCATCATAACACTGATAGCGGGTCATGACGATTCATATTAGAGTCAGATAAGGGCACTAGGCTGCCATGAGTCTTGCTAGTTTGAAGGATGGGCCGGCTTAGGACTAACTCTGGGGAGCTCCGAGCTCGGCTACGGCGAGGAGAGGAGAAAAGGGCACGTGAGGCGGGAACAGATTGGGAGGGGAACATCCCAGTGGCCACATGCCCTGGAATGAGAGTTGGTCATGACCTAAAGACTGCCTTTTACTGCAAATCGCCACTGTATTTAGCTTCGCCGACTGTCATTCCAGCTATCCCATGCCCCCGGTTGTCTATTCAGCGATCACGTCCGTACGCCTACCATGCTTCCAACATGTACAAGATGTCGGACTCGGCGGATCAAGGTTCGTTGCTGGGCCTCTGGGCCTCTTGATACGCATTCTCTGGATCTATTGAACTGACCTTTGGAACAAATACCCCTGTAGTGCGATTCACAGCTTCCTGCCTGCGCCAATTGCACCAAAGGCGAGTCCGAATGCACCTTTCGAGATGAAGCCGTGCAAGAAGATATCCCTCGAAGGTACGTTAGGCTTCTAGATTTTATGTGACGAAAAGTTATTGGCATTCTTATTTCAATTCATTCCTACCAAAATGCTAATTTTGGCCCCAAGCTATATTCAATCTTTGAATGACCGCATTCACGAACTAGAATCACAAATCTCACTACATCAACAACGCCCTCAATGGTATGTAAGGATATCATGTGCTTCGATTGCTCTTCGATGGTAGAGAGAGCAGACGATCTAACTCTCTCATCCTCCGACAGCTCGAATTCTTCCGTCACCTCATCGGACCAGCCTTTGCATGTCTACGCTCCAGGGCCTGGTTCTGACTTGAATCTTGATCTTTCTTTTCCATCCCTTATTACCATGACCACATTTGAAACGCTACAGGTAGCCCATGACCTTTCTGACCTGGAGATACCTTCTGAGTTAGAAGCTACTCTCCCAAATCCCCCACCCCTAGAGAGATCTATCCTGTCTCCCTTCATATTGCGGTCGCTGCTCGGACGATACAATCGCTACGTGCACTCGCAATATCCTATTTTGGAGCCCGATACTCTCAGTAATGATGGAGCAAATTTCAAGAAATTAGCCAACAACCAGAAGGTCAGGATCCTTATGGCCTGTGCCATTGCTGCGGCACGCGAAGCTTGCCGGGCGCCAATCTGGAAGGCGTACGCTCAGGTCTGTAGAGACTGGGCGAGTGAGCTGATATCACCAACTATCTCCACGGAGGATAAAGATTCCCTGAGTATCATACTGCTACTTGTCGTATATGAATTAGCTGATTCAACGAGGGGCCTTATCTGGGAGCTTCTGGATCTAGCTACACGGACTTGCTTGCAGCTAGGCTGGCTCCACGCTCCCCAGTTCACAGATCAGTCTTCATCGATCCTCAACGAGGGATCTCAGAAACAATTCAAGGCTCCATCATTAGATCAACAACGGTTAGTGTCTGTATTGAGAGACATAAATGGGTATGTGGACCAATTGCCAATCCTCCCTCAAACCCTCTGCTTAATTCTCGTTCCTCACCTCTACCGGAATAGATCTCTACAATCGATATATCACAGGCCCAGTATGATGGATGCACTTAAATTCACAACGAGTGACAAAGAAGATCTTTTTTCCGCTCATATCCAGCTTTATGATCAAATATACGGCAGTGGTCGAATTTACGAAACCCAGGGTTGCCCCTGTGTTGGAGAAGCTTCCACTCTGCTTGAGAAAATAGGGACTTTCCAAGGCAACCAAGACATAGTCAACGAAACAATTCTGCTTTTCCTCCCAGTTTGCGTTCGCCACAAACAATGCATATTCTGCTTCCAAGAGCCTGATGGAGATTTCACCCAAAAGACGATGGGAGCTCTGCGACTTAGAGTTGCCAGCGCGGCGTCAAATTTGATAACCAGCGTGCATTCACTCTCGATGGGATCGGAGGGATTCATCTCTCCGTTTTTAGGGAGCGCAAGGGCGTTCGTCTCCGGTTGCTGTATAGCGACGGCGATTGCGAAACGGTGGATTGTCGTTGCTGACTTTTACAAAGATATCCTTAGGTGCACTGAGATCCTTACACACTTTGCTCCCCACTGGAAAGGCGGATTCAGATATTTGCACATCTGGCGAAGCATATTGGTTCCCTTAGAGCTATCATGAGAATCCAATTGAATAAATTGAACGAGATGTACGACCGTGTTTGGTCCGAGAAGTCTTCAGTGGAAGCCATCTAAAGAGAGTGCCTCTTGGCTGATTCATCAAAATCGTAATTCTAATAACTTCATGCAAGAGAATTTCTCGCTTAGTAGGGTCGGAATATGTTCTCCAACTGCTGTAAATTGAATATTCAACCCCAGAACTCTACTAAGCTAGTATATTGAATACACTTGAGGCTGCCAATCACATGGCATATCGGAAGTACGGGTTCTTCCTGTCAGTCACATCCTGCTCTCCCAGCAAACGTCCCTCGTTCTCCTGCTCCTCCTTAGAAAGACCGCTTTCGGCAGCCAGGCGGTCGCGTCGTCTGTTCTCATATACGTACCAAAGCCTCCACATGATGATAACAATCACTTCGAGACCAAAGCAGGCGGAACAGGCAATTGTGCCGCTGAGGTACCTGGGGGCATCCGCGGTTCGGAAGACCTGTGCACCAACCATATTACCGATACAGTACGCAATAAGTGTCAGCGAAGATACGACAGTTCGCTTTGTTCCACCGGCAATGTTCGATGTGACTGTCGCGGGTTAGCATGGTGCGGAAACTTTTACACGGCACAGAACTCACCAAGACTCCATCCAAGGAAAAGGGCCAGCGAGAAAACGACCGTGATGTCAAACATTCCCCATTTAAGCCACTTGTATTGAGGCGTGTTGGGATACAAAGACATGACAAGAAGTCCAGCAAATGGCAAAATGCACGCCACGATCATGATATACATGCGCTGGTTCTGGAACTTCCTCAGGTACAGGGCCACAACAATGAAAACCACAACATATATAGCTAGACCTAGTTAGTATGGTGTGATATTTCGGATTCAGAATCCAATTTACCATTGCGAGGCAAGCTGAAAAGCATAGATCCCCAGGTGTCGAATCCGAACGTCTCATAAAGAAGAGAACTGAAGGTTGTGATGCCGCTAAGATATTTGGATTAGTTATTAGTGGTGTCAAGATGCTGATAGTGCAGCGTACCCATTTGGAATGCAGGCCAAAAACGTATTAGCGAAGACGAAATAGACCTGGGGGTCCCTGAAGCATTCCCAGAAGTGATCCCAGTTCCACTTCTTGCTCGTTGATTCCTCGCCAATCTGGTTTTCGACGACTCGGGCAATGCTGAAAGTGGTCAGAAATGCGAAGTGGACAGGTCTTAAGCGAACTTACGCCATCTGCTTCTCTTCTTCACTCAGCCATCGAACCTCCTGAGGCGAACCGAGAATAAAGTAGCAGAATACTGCTCCAGCCAAGGTCAAGGAGCCAAGGAACAGTGAGATCGTCCTCCAGGCAGATATTGACCCCTTGTCTGTGACATATCTCGCGATTCCGTACAGCATAAGGTTGCAAACAATTGTGAAGAAACCCTGCGATGACTGCCAGAACAGGGAGCGGTTGGCATGTTCCTTGGTTCGGTACCAGGTTCCGGTGATGAGCAGGAATCCGGGAGAGATGTTGCATTCGAAGAAACCCTGGAGAGCTCGCAGGGCCATGAGTTGAGACCAGCTGTTGCACGCACTGATGCACAGAAGGCAGATAGCTATACTTTTGTCAGCTACAAATCACCGAGGCAATTCCAAAAACTTTCTTACACCATCCAATCATATAGAGTGTGAGGACTCGACCGATTTTATACTTCTGAAGAAGCCAAGTCGAGGGAAACTCTCCAACAAGGTAAGTAATGTAGAAGCTTTCAGTCGATGATATTAGTTGTCAATTCAATACTAAGAGATTGCAAGATATGGCACTTACATTGTAGTCAGCCATTGAAACTCCTGGCCAACAAGACCCAATTCCTTATTCATCCCAAAGAGCTGAAACCTGGTTAGTACAGCTACAGGATGCTGTCGAATGGGCGAGAACCTACTGCCTGAATGCTGATAGATGTCTTATCAGTCTGTTGGATTCCATACATGAAGAACCTGTCGCAGTTAGCTGTCTGCCTTATTATTTTTTCGTATCAAATACTGTTGCCATGTGACTAACATCAGAGGAATAAGGTAGCGATCGATCTTTCTTGTCAGTTTCTTGTACTGCTCCTCGGTGTATTCTATTTATCTGTGTCAGCGTGATCACCATAACATAGAAATCAAGGTGCACACCATTGGTATGTCCCATAGAGACCGATTCGACGGGTGCCAACTCCAACGAGCCCGCATCGACCTTGTCTTTGGCGTCCTCTGTCGCCATTGTGGAAATTGGAGTTCTCGATTTTTTCTGTTTGAAGCACTGAAGCCAATTCTGGTGATTCGAGAGGCTCTTGGTGGTGTCAAGGAGGGGGGAAAGAAGAAAGACTTGACTCTTATACGAGTCAAGATCCAACCAACTATCCAGGATATACCCCGGGTCAGCGGTTTCGGTGGAAGCAGGTTGAGATTGCCAGTTGGCGATTCGCAACCCCCAAATCCTGACTACGCCCGTTCTCAACGCTTGTGGAGAACGGCGGGTCGCGTGGATAAGAGTCGAAATAACGGCGACCACTTATCTAGCTTTCCTGGCTGTCCCTAATCAGTCTGGCCCTTCGGAGATCCCCATATCTGAGGAAGAATCTGACGGGCATCACCGAAATGCGGAGATACCGCACAGGACCATGCCCTTGGGTCTCAACTGTCCGGGGTAGTGTCATGTTGGCTTCAGATTTGTTCAAATACAAAGTGATAAGCTAAGAGCAGATCGGGGTATGTGTACAAGAGTTCAAGCAAAAGACAACCTTGCCCTGGATATCGATTACCGACTCAACGAATCACCATGTCTGATCACGGTCCCACCCCTGTTCCCAATTCAACCAAGTCGTTTTGGAAGACGCAGCCACATCGTCTCGATAGTCACCGCAGCACAGCTCAGCTACCGGCTGAGAGTGACGTCGTTATCATAGGTGCTGGGTTCGCCGGAGCTGCCCTCGCCCACTTCATCTATGCCGACAGCCCCTCCCCACCGTCAGTGGTAATATTGGAGGCTCGCGAGGCATGTTCTGGCGCAACCGCCCGAAATGGTAGGTCGTGTGCCAACAAGGAAACAAGTCACCCCATCCTTTGTCCTTAGCTGATCAAATATACAGGGGGGCACTTAAAGCCTGATGTCTATTTCAACGTGCCTAAATATATCAAGAAATATGGCACCAAAGCAGCTGTAGAAGTGGCCAATTTCGAGGCATCACAAGTTTTGGCAGTGAAGGAATTGGTTGAAAAGGAGAAGATTGATTGCGAGTTCACTCTTACTCGAGCATGCGATGTCATACTGGACGAAGATTTGGCCAGGGAGACGGAAGAAGCATTTGCTGAGCTTTCAAAGTCAGGCGTTGCCAATCTCACCGATGTCCATTTCACACCTCGTAAAGATGCAGAGAGAGTACATCAACCCACCATGTTTCGGCATATACAAACTTTGAATAAAATGCTAACGGACTAATCGCAGGTTTCCGGTGTCAAAGGTGCTCTTAATTGTTTCACTTTCACGGCTGGCCATGTCTGGCCTTACAAGCTGGTGATGCATCTCCTCGAAGGCGCAGTGAACAAGGGAGCAAATCTGCAGACGAACACTCCCGTCACTCATGTCTCTGAAAAGCCACTCTCCGACGGCCGCTGGCTCGTGACAACAGCGCGAGGAACAATCAAAGCCAAAAAGATCCTGCTAGCTACAAACGCGTACACGTCACGCATTGCGCCTGAATTCAAGGATCACATTGTTCCAGTTCGGGGGATCTGCAGCCGAATCGTTGTACCGAAGGGGTCACAGGCCCCATTCTTGCCGCAAACTTACAGCATTCGCCATGGTCCGTCGCTATACGACTATCTTGTTCCCCGAAACGACGGCAGTATCATTGTCGGCGGGGCAAAGCCTACCTGGTGGTCAGATACCTCCCAGTGGTATAATGTATCCGACGATAGTAAACTCATCGAACCGGCGTTGCCGTATTTTGAAGGCTTAATGCAACGGACATTTATGGGTTGGGAAAAGAGTGGTGCCTATCCCGATAAAATATGGACTGGAAGTAAGTTCGAACTGAAGAGTCTCTTGTCGCCTGTGATGTTGACTGACCCGCAACATGAACAGTTATGGGCTATAGTTCAGACTTCATGCCGTACGTCGGTGAGGTACCTAAGAAGCCAGGCCAAATGGTTCTGGCTGGTTTTTCGGGCCACGGCATGCCATTGATCCTCCTTTCAGCTAAAGCAATCGTCGAGATGCTCTTGTATGGGAAGTCCTTTGAGGAGACTAGTGTCCCTTCTGTGTTCAAAGCCACCCAAGAGCGTCTGGATAGCACAAGGAATGAAATTACGGAGGGACATGGATCCGAACAAGAGGAGCTCAGGAGCAAATTATAGATTAGCAACATGATACTTTCCCCGAGATGTGGTTGTTTTAACTCAACATTTTTACCGAAAAAGTTGAATGCTGCGTGTTTGTTTTTTTTTCACTCTATAAATCATATCATATACCTTAGGATTGATATTTGAAGAACAATCCCCGCCATCTTCAGCCTATCGGCTGGGTGACAGAAGGGATGGCAGATGAATTTAAGAGCAGCTAGAAGCAGAGCTCTTTCTGCATTAATTAGAACAATATAACAATATACAGCGATACACGTTGACAGTTTACAATTACCAAGCACAGACGCGCATATAGTACTGATTGCCCCAAGACTTTGAGTGACTCAATGCGATCAAAATTAAAGCTGAATTTAGAGACTCTTCGGTGAATTGTTTTATTTATTATGCCTGAAATAGAGTGTCTATTTACTAGGAGCATAAGCAATAATCCCATCTGCCAGCGAAGACAGGTCCTCTGCAATCACCTCCATTTCGCCGAAGATATCCTGACACGTCTCCTTTTCCCAGGTCGCTGCCCAAGCACCCTTGAATCTACAGAGAATCTCAGTCAGTATTCAGAAGTCATCAACGTTCATGGAAATTAGATCCCTTACCCGCAGTTGCGAGCGGCAGCAGCATCCCACATATGTGCGGCGGCGAACCACACATCAAGATCCTCCTTGGGAAACTTATCCAGGATGTACTGGTATGAATCCGGGGCCGGCTTTCCAATTCCAATAGTGTCACACGATACGAAGTTGTCCGAAGGGAAGTTGGCATTGGCGGCTTCCAAATACCCTGCTACGCGCTCAGTATCGCCCGCTGTGAGAGCCCAGACGGTGAATCCAGCTGCACGAAGCTTGGAGAAGCACTCCAGCAAACCAGGTCGAGGAGCCAGCTTGCGGTACGATGCCAACAGAAACTCGCGGTCGTCATCAGTGGCAAATGCGCGGGGGTCTTTGATGCCCGCTTGCCACAGTGTGCGATAGAAGATGGACCGGAATATATCAAAGAACTTGATATACTTGCCGGAAATACTGAGGTAGGTGTACTCCCTCTCCCCCGCTTCCATCCAAGCGTAGCCGAAGATACGGGACCCGATGCTTTCCTTTCTGAATCGCTCTCCTAGTCTGGCTTCAACGGCTTCAAAGAAAGCGTCATAGGAAACCAGCGTTCCTGGAACGTGTTAGGATCAATAGCGTGAGGAGCATAAGTGCAGATCATTAGATGTTGCGTACCTACAACGTCGAAGACGACGTGCTTGTTAGTTGATGTAGACATTATGATCACGAGATGGTTGTGCTTTGAACTGAAGCCTTCGTATTATTTGCTATGCCAGCGATAATCCAATATCGCAAATAGTGATGTAAACCTTGTATAAATGACGGCGTTGAGAGTTGCATCTAGTTTGGGACGCACCCCTCACTAAGAAGCGTTCGGCGAACCGCGCGATTTAGACTGTCTCGGACGGGGAAAGCCGACGTGACATGACTTGTGACTGCGGTTGTCTCCTCCGATAAGCCAACGAAAGGTGGGCCTGGGGTTAAATGTCAGTATCGGAATACAGCGATCACAGCATGAGGCAAGGTGGTCAAGTACGATCAATATGGAAGCCGTGTGCCGAGCCTTTCCAAGGCCTCTCATACGGATATTGGTTATTCTGCTTAGCCGTACAGCAGATATTGATTTGCGAAGCGAGATATGATGCGGCAATCAAAGACACCCGAATATTATGCCTGGGTGGAAACATCCAGGTAACTTGTGGGGAGTTTCCCGTTTGCACCAACTATAGCGGCAGCTAATATTTACCAAGTCATATAGTAGCCATGTTTGCAAACAAGCATAACGTCAACTGAGATATCATGGTGTGGAAATTCAAAATGATCTATACCCGAAGTAGTCTTATATAACTATCTATTCATGCACCTAATTCAAGAAGTGAAGTGGCGGTATCTCTAATACAGTCTTGGAGCGATTTAAATTCAATCCCGAGTATTTCCCTCGCTCTTGAATTGTCATAGCCGTACACATCGGTAGGGAAATCGTCCCGCGGATTTTCAGGAAGCCGGGACGAAAGCTCAGGATGAGTCTTCCGAAGCCCATCGACAATTTGCTTATGCGAGCAGTGTCCCGCAACGACGAAGAAACGCTTCCCTCCAGCTTCAGGAACCTCAATAGCCCTCACATGCGCAAGTGCAAGGTCCCTGACATCGGTGAAAAGAAATGTCCCCGTGGGAGGCAGGGGGCTATCTTTGTATTTGCCCTGGATAATATCTCGAATGTTCAAATTTGACGTGTTCAGCCGATCAAGATTCTCTAGGTGGTGAGCAACAGGACCATAAACAAGTGGCGGGTTAATAGTGGTAATATCGAATGAAGGCTTTTCTTTATCGAAAAATCCCCATGCAGCCTTTTCTGCAAACGTCTGCATGGTGACGCGGTAATCAGAAAACTGCAAGGCTTCGGGAATAATGGGAATACCTTTACTCACCTTGCTTCCACGATATGTCTTCGACTTATCTGACAAAGACTCATCCCATGTAACAGGATTCCATGAGCTTTCATCGTAAACTTTTGGTGGTGATTCAGTGTTTACGATGGCTGCAAAAGAAGAGGTGATAACCACTCGTTTTACCTGGGGAGCATGCTCTTTAATAGCCCTGAGAATGCCCACGGTTCCATTGATGGCCGGTTCGAGAACATCTAAAACAGGGTCTTCAAACTTGGCCAGAAACGGGGATGCAGTATGAATCACATAGTCGAGATCAGGGTTAGATCGAACGACCTTGTGCAAAAATGGTCAGCATCACTCTCTATTCCTACATCCAAGGAAAGCTAGGCAAGAGGGGCTCACGGCATTGAAAGCGTCGCGTTGAGCAATATCGCCCACGATTGCATATGAAAGTTTGGGCTTCAACGACTCGGGTTGTGCTTTGATAACATGATCGCCCTTTTCCTGTGACCGTACCGTTGTGATGACGGTGTACCTAACACATATCAGCGCTGGTAGGCAGAAAGATGCCAACACATTATGGCCCCTACCCCCGTTCAAGGAGAATCCTGAGGATGTGAGCCGCAATAAAACCGCTGCCACCTGTTCAACATCAGTCAAGGAACCAGCAAAAGACAGGCTGTGCAGGTAGGGCGCGGCTTACCGGTGAGAAGCGCCTTTGCCATCTTGGCAATGCCTTTTAGGTTTGGGGTTGGTTGCTGCTCGGTTGTGAGGAAAAGCCAATATTAGCTTCCCAAAATGAAACAGACTGAGTTGTTAAAATATATAGCTAACTTCCTAGTTTAAGGGCTAGGGGCACGAAACCCCCTCCCTTACTCAAACTATGGCATTATCATCGTCGGCGGAGAGCGTTAATAGTTGCCCCACCGGCGCGGAAAGCCGACCAGCAGATTCCGCGGCAACACAAGTTTTTCTGCAAAGCCCAACGATTGAGAAAGGTTGATGATATCACGAGAATATCTTATAAAACTGACAAATGTCACTAACAATGGTCGAGATACTCCTGCGTTATCGCTCTTACTGGGAGTATTGAGACTACCGTCACAGATGGAAATCATTCATAATGGCTTGTCGCGACCTTAATTACTGATCCTCTTGCCAGTATGATTTAGAACCATTGATTTTTCATAGCTATATAGAAGGTGGCTACTCTCGTTCAATTTAAGTTGTCAAAGAAAGAGATTAGGCCCAGATGTTAGCTACCTAAAGTCCTCCACTCATTATGGAACGGCTGAATAACCGCTGACAGTCTCTATATCCATCATATGCTCCTTGAATATTGCCCTCGACCAAGAATTTGAGTTATTACAAAGGCGGAACAATGCTTTTTAATAAAACTAATGCTTGGCTGTCAGAAAAGACGTTGCTGGTTTGTAATGATGACTGAAAAGAACATCATCAGACTGAAGACATCGCCATTTTATATTTAGACGCTCAGTAAGGACTAACTATCCTTTAACCCCAGAAGTGAATTCCAATAGAATGCCTTCTTCACCTTAAACGGATAATGATGACTGAGATTGGGGAGCAGTAGGGTGTTTACAAGCCCAGCATCAATGCGTTTATGCCATGAACATGATACTGATAGAGCAGAAAACGCAATCTAATGAATATACGCCCCATCGTCAAAAATTCAAGATTGAAGAGCCAAGAGAATGGAAGAGAAGCGCGAAATGAGCTATGCATCAAATTGCTCAGACTGTGCTGTGTGTTATCTTAAATCAAAGTTGAACCAATCATACTGTGCCTTGTTTCTACAATATCATTGAATTTGAAAAAAAAAAAAATTAGTTGACAACAATGCTTTGAAACTGCAGCATGTAAATATTCACGATATGTAAAAAATGTTGCACGGCACCCACTGTAGTTATTGCAACCAAAAAGTCAACCCCCTTTTCCATCAATATTCACCATAGAGGCGAAGGCCTAAAGCGTGAGGATTAGAGGGCCTTAACGGCCCTGCTTAGTGGCCTGCTCGGGTACCCACCAGCAGGTGTTTAATGGGTGTGGGATGTCGTCAAGTTGCTTCCAGTGGCGGCTCGTTGTCTGAAGCCCCTGGAAGGTCTCCGCCAACATCGACAGTAGTGGAGGCTAGCTTCGGCATCTCTCGGCGGCACTCCCGCTTTCCCCATCGTGAACGATCAGTGATGGCTTCAGTCATGACTAATATTACGCAGTCGCAATAGCAGTGGAAATCCAGAGATATTCAAAAATGTCTCTCCTCGCGACTCCTCGCTCCTCACCGCCCAGATAGCAAAGCAGCAATTTCACACAATGTCTCGCCAGACGCTCCGCCGAAACGTTCCCACCGGCACAGGGCTCAAGGCCAGCCTCGCCGCCCTCGAGTCCTCGAGCCCAGCTGAAATCAGCATCACAGCCCCGCCCGACACGGTAAGAAATCATCCCGCCCCTCCTGAATCCCCCTTCCAGCTTATTAACAATCTACAGGTCGACACCCTGACCACTGAAGGCGACTCCTTCACCCTCACGTCCTTCACCACCGCGGACGCCCACGAGCTCGGCCACCTCCTGTACGCGCGCCTCCTCCACGCCTCCAAGCCGACCCTCATCTCCATCGCACTGGCCAGCGGCCTCGTCCTCTTCCAGACGACCACGGGGCCCGGCGTGCAGCCCGACAACGAGACTTGGGTCCAGCGCAAGCGGCGCTCCGTAATGCGCTTCGGCTCCAGCAGCTGGTTCCTGCACTGCAAGTTCGCGGGCGACGAGGCCGCCTTCGCTGCCAAGTTCGGCCTGGGGCCCGACCAGGCTGGCCAGTACGCGATCCACGGCGGCGGGGTGCCCATCCGGGTCGAGGGCGTGGAGGGGGTCGTGGCCGTCGTGGTTGTCAGCGGGCTGAAGCAGGAGCAGGATCACGGGGTCATTGTTGATGTCATCAAGGAGAACTGGGTGCCTGTTAATTGAGGTGAGAATGGAGATTGCATAATTCACAATTTCTGATTCATTGATACATGCATATCTTTGTGAATGCGCGTCGCGAGTGGTGGATTTGTAACAAGAAGCTCCTTCCATGGGCGCGTCTCTTTGCTCCCCACCTACCCTATATCTCCTCACCAGCAATTGGTCTTCGCACTCTGTAGTCGCCTGTGGAATCAAATACGAGGGAATACCTTAGAATCGATGGTATCCGATTATCGGAGCGGTGATTGCGTTGCATACCAATCGTATAATCTGGAAACAACGTGAAGATGGAGGTAGATCCTTGCCCCATGCAATCCGTCGCGCAGCTTCAAAGCCCGAGGTATGATGCGGGGAGAATGCGGAGAAGAAGTGTAAAAACAGAAGCTGAAAAATGGGCGGGGATGCGCTTTGATTTTCCGTCATATTCCCTGTCGTCAGCCAGCTCTATGTCTGTTCGTTTGTAGAGATTAAACCTGTTGCCTCAACTACCTACGGCGTGAAGCGTACCCAGCGATCAGCTGGAGCAATGTTGTTCAAGAGTAGCAGCCCAGATATTGACTGTAAGTAACGGCGTATTTCGCACCACGGGAGCAGCATCTGACCATGATGTTCCAACAGTGCCCAAAGACCTCCCTGTGTGGACTTGGCTCTTCGCGTCTCCCCATTCACCGCTTGCCAGAATCCCCAGCAAGGATATCAGAGGCTTCACAGATGCCATAACCGGAGAACATATTAGCTACAGCGATGTCAAATCACACACCACACACGTCTCGACTGCATTAGTCAAGGACTACGGCCTCAGAGAGGGAGATGTGGCCATCGTGTTCTCACGCAATACAATCTGGTATCCCGTAGCTGTTCTCGCTGCCGCGCGCGTCGGTGCTGTGGCTTGCGGAGTGTCTCCAGAATACAACGTCGATGAACTCACATACAGCCTCAAGCTCAGCAAAGCCAAGTTCATCTTCACCACCGAAGGGGGCCTGGAGAGAGCCTACGCGGCAGCATCAAACGCAGGAGTCGCACATGACCATGTGTTTCTGCTGGAGACGAGCACCAAGGTCGGTAAGACGAGCCTTCAGGACCTGACACGACGCGGGCAGCAATACGGCGATGGCGGCCAGGTCACCCCGTTTAAGCTACCAGCCGGCAAGACGAATGGCCAAGTCTGCGCCTACCTTGGCTTCAGCAGCGGGACGACGGGTCTGCCCAAGGCCGTGATGATCTCCCACGGAAATGTGATTGCGCAGTGCCTCCAGATTCAGCAGATCACACCTCCATCGCACGACAAAGGCCTCGCGGCGCTTCCATTCTATCACATCACCGGCATTGTTCATCAACTGCACCTGCCTATACTTCTGAATGCCAACACCTACGTCTTGACAAGGTTTACAATGGAGGGATTTCTCAAGGCTGTGCAGGACTACAAAATTAAAGAATTGCTGCTGGTACCGCCCATCATCATTCGCCTGGTTCGATCACCAGAGCTGGTTAGGAGCTTTGACTTGAAGCACGTCACGCGCTTCTCGTCGGGCGCCGCGCCATTATCTCAGGAAGTTCTGGCTCTACTGCAGCGACAATTCCCCGGCACGGGCTTCAAACAGGGCTACGGCATGACCGAGTCGTGCTCTTGCATCACCGCACACCCGCCGGAGAAGTACGACTACAAGTACGCTCACAGGGTCGGCGCCGTTGTCGCTTCGACCGAGGTCAAGGTCGTCGATCCGGAGACGGGGAGGCAGTGCGGCGTGGGCGAGACGGGCGAGATCTGGGCTCGCGGGCCGCAGATCACGATGGGGTACTTGGACAATCCCAAGGCGACGGCGGAGACGTACGACGAGGACGGGTTCCTACACACGGGGGACATGGGGCACTTCGACGAGGAGGGTCTACTGTCAATCACGGACCGGCTGAAGGAAATGGTCAAGGTGAAGGGGATTGGGGTCGCGCCGGCCGAGCTCGAGAATCTGCTGCTGGGACACCCGATTGTCAACGATGCTGCGGTGTGCGGGATACAGGACGAGCGGGCGGGGGAGCGGCCCAAGGCGTTTGTTGTGTTGGCCAAGTCTGCAGCGTCGGAGCCAGAGCGTGCAGCGCTGGAGCTGATTGATTTTTCCAAAGCGAAGACGGCGAGGCACAAATGGATTGCGGAGGTGGAGATTGTCAAGGAGATACCGAAGAGCCCGTCGGGCAAGATTCTTCGACGGAAGCTTCGCCAGGCCCCTGGGAAGAGCGGGAACGTGATTGTTCGCGATGATTTGCGAGCGCGGTTCTGACACTTTTTTGGTGTTGATCGGAGTAGCCAATCAGAGCGCGGGGCTGCTGTCGCCTGTGCTTGCACTCGCTGTCCAATGGCAGGGCTAGGCTGATGGATGCCTGATGTGGCCTTTGTACGAATGAAAGTATATGATGGACAAAACAACGTACTCTTTCCGAGCGCAAAGCTCATATAGTCTAATTAAAAATATACAGAGAAGATTAGCATTGCCCCTGCACAAGGATGACACAATAATCTTAGGGAGAGCAACCTCTTTTTTTCGATGATATCTCGTGCTCGCTTACATCACGTAGCCTGGGCCAGGAAACAGCGCTTTCTCCCATTCCACATTCAAGGCACTTGGCGTGCAAACCACTGTACTTTCTCGTATTTTGGGAAAGGCTACAGAAAGTAACCACAGCTGGTTCGATTCCCGGATCTGTTTCTGGTTTTTTTTCTGTTCTGTCTTTTTCTTCGCTGGGTTCGTGGCTGCCTAGTTGAATGGACCAATGAGGCGCCTGTCTGACCAAGCCCCAAATCCTCTTTCCGCCTCTAAATACAACAATGAGAAGCGATTGTGGGCGAACAAAGTGTTTGGGGTAGGTGACTGCGGCTTTTGCACTGGGCACTTGACTTGTATGCCCATTATCTACTGCTCTCTTTGCAAACCAAATCCGTTGATCATTCGCCTTACTTTCCCCATGCAACCCATTTGAGCTACGGCAACCACGATTTGGAAGGTATCTACTGGACAAGATGACGTGGCGCTCATCGTGGTTCCTCCCTCGATCATGTGGGGTTGACGGCACAATGTTACATGCGCTGGTTCTCGAAGATGGATCCCCGGGTGTATTTCGCTGTTGGTCCATCGGATATCACATCAAGGGTCCTGCAGGGGTATCACGGCTTGCTGACATGCCTTCCGACGACAATTGACATCTTTTGAAGAGTATGAAGATGTCTGCTGCTTCTCTTAGATTCGAAGCCAGGTGAGCGAGGGAAGGTGCGAAGACCCAAAAAGTCGCAGACTGTCGTCAAACACGTCATCAAGCGATGCTTTCCTCGGCAATTGGACATGGCCACTTCCACAATGGGCAGTTTCAAGCGTGATGAGTGAGGTACGTTCCTCTTGCTCGATGAAAGTTTCTCTTGCCTGCGTAAACAAGTAAACAAGAGGTACACAAATATAAACAGCCCGTTTCCTTTCCTCTCTCTTTTCTTTCTCTTCTCTTCATCATCCACACAGCTCACATCAAATCATCATCTTGACCACCGCAGCTCTTTTGGCATCAATACTTTCTTCCACACCATCATTTGCTTGCTCGCTCAGAACATCAGAACAACCATCGCACAATTCCATTCTCTTCCATCCGCCGCCTTCTTTCTGCAATCATGAAGTTCTCCACCGTTCTCGCCTGGGCCTCACTGGCTTTGGCTACCCCTACCCCTGCCATTCAAACTCGCGACGAGGACAACACATTGTGCAAGATCTTTGAGAGTCTTTCCAAGCTCGAAGACACTGTCTATGCCTCCAAGGTCAAGATTGGTATGTCTCCATCCGCCATTCCCATTGTCGGCATCTTTGGACATTGAGTTGCTAATGCTTTCATTAGTGGCAGCGGCGGATGCCTCTGAGCCCGACAATGAATCCCAGACTGCTGCCGCCATTGAGACGGAACTCGAAACGATCAATGCTGCCCTCTTGACTGCGTTTGGCAGCACCAAAGGCAAGAATACGATTTGCTGGCCCAGTTTGGCATGCGAGGAGGACCCTGACGTCTACACATGTTTTCTGGAAACCTGCTCCGCTGCAGCCGAAGCCTCCATCGACTTGCAAGCCATCCTGACCGCCATCTCCGGCCTTTCAGCTGACATCCGAAAAGCTGTGGCCGAACAATTGGGCCTCCTCAGGTTCCTGACCGCGCCGTTTCTCGAGTCCATTCTGGAATATTGCAACAAGCTGAGCGAGCAATGCCCGATCAAGGTCTGAGATTGACCACGTCTTCTCCATGGTCAATTGATGTCGATCATTGAGGACTGACCGTGCATGTATGGTTCTCTTTCTTCTTCCTGGGTTCCTAGGATGAGAGAACTTGGGGGAGGAGCATGCTTTTCTTACTGCTCTGCGGGATTCAGTAGTTACGACCCTAATTGAGACCCAGTTTTGTTTTTGTCCGGGGTTCATGGAGACAGTTGTACACAGTCAGTTGTGGGAGGACAAGGTGGCATGGTTTCTTTGCTGAGCACTACACAAACAGATTAAACTAGTATCAATACAATCCAGTGTTACTCTCAATCCTTCCCATCTAGTTCTTTTCGTGATCTATCGTAGTAGTGATGTTACTCCATCGTATGATCTTGATCCGTTATCATCTTCCATCCCCGCCCTCCCTGCATAATCGCGGCAGCATTGTCTCCCTTGACCTGCCAACTCGCCCACAACCCGACCGCGGGGTGGATATAGGACCGAAGAGGGTAAAATTTTAGAATTTTAGGTCAGATTCGCTCATCAAGCCAAGGCTGTATGGAAGCAAAAGTCGCGTGGGGGCTGGAAAAGATGTGTCAATATTTTGCGGCTGATGGTTGTCAACTTCCAAACAATTATCGCCAACATGCACACCTTCGGCACGTTTTTGCCGGCCAGGAACTATTGTAGGTGCGTATCTCTCTCCCGACTGGACGAGATGGGTGGGTTGCAAAAGTCCATGTAGCACGGCGGAAATCCTGGGGATTGCGCCATAGGCAATCTGCCATCGTTGCAGCCCCTTTCGGCGCCGGGAAGGTCATCCATGACAGTCCAAAAATCACGGGTTTCTGGAACAGACAATCGCAAAAGTCTTCGATTGGAAGACCAGATCAGGAAGTGAAGGAACCTGATCAGGAAGGTGGAAGGGCTATCCGATGGCAAAGTACGAGATTGGGCCTATGGCGCGACACCCATTGTTACGCTCGTAATCGCCGTTGCATGCAATGTTCCCGGCTGGGCGATCCGTGTTGCTACCAAATCTGTCCATGCATCCGACGATGGAAGACAATTGCACCATTTCGCCCCTTCACGCAACCGGACGCGGTGGCGATCATATTCATATAATGGTGGCCTGGCCCTAGCCAAAGCCGGCCGTTGCGTGTCGTGTCTCACTTGCCCAGAAGAAAAAAGAGAGTTTATGGAGGAGGAGCTTCGTCTCGCCAGCCATCATCATTCGACTTTTTTCCATCAACAATGGGTAGGTAAATCACTGCGCGAGAGGTCTATGCCTTTTTGTTCTGACTGTTCTCTCCCTCGCAGCTGAAAACGCGGTCGGCCTCACCACGGCCAAGGTCGTCGAGCCCGTCGTCGAGTCCGGCATCGAAGAAAAGGCTCACCATGTCGCGTCCGTCGGCGTGAGCGGCGATGTGGAATCCAGCCCTGCGTCCCTCGAGGCCGGCAATGTTCCCGACAGCGAGCTGTATCCTGTCCCGACTGCAGACGAGCGCAAGACGCTGCGCAAGGTCGCCGACTCGATTCCCTGGATCTCGTGGACGCTCTGCTTCGTGGAGATGGCGGAGAGAGCCTCGTACTACGGCGTCAAGGCCGTGTTCAACAACTATCTCCAGTTCCCGCTTCCAGAGGGCGGTCCCGGCACCGGTGCGATTGACAAGAGCAAGCCCAACTCGCATGCCGGAGCCCTCAACATGGGCCTGCAGGCCTCCTCGGCACTCGGTCTGCTCTTCACGTTCCTGGCGTACGTCATTCCCATCTTCGGAGCCTGGATTGCCGACACCAAGATCGGTCGCTACAAGGCTATTCTCCTCGGTGTCATCATCGGAGCCGTCGCCCACGTTATCATGGTCGGAGGCGCCGCGCCAGCAGTTTTGCAGGCAGGAAAGGGAGTGGCTCCCTTCTTGATCTCCTTCTTCCTCTTGGCCTTTGGAGCCGGCATCTTCAAGCCCAATGTTCCCCCCACTGTTCTTGACCAGTACAAGCACCAGCGTGAGTACACCAAGGTTCTCAAGTCGGGCGAGAAGGTTCTCGTCGATCCCGAGACGACGGTGAGCCACATCATGCTCATCTTCTATGCGTTCGTCAACGTTGGCGCGTTCTTCTCCATCGCTGTCGTCTATATCGAGAAGTACCACAGCTTCTGGCTTGCGTTCCTCGTGCCCGGTATTGTCTACTTCCTGCTGCCGCTCCTGCTGGCTGTTACCTATAAGAGAACAATCCGCGTTGCCCCTCAAGGATCGGACCTCAACCGATTCACCAAGATCACCGTCGCGGCACTGAAGAAATCCAAGGGCAATCTATTTTCCAGGACCTTTTGGGAGGATATTTCTCCTTCTACATTGGCCCAGACAGGTCACATCACACCGTATTCAGAGAAGGATGTTGATGATGCCAAGCGAACCTGGCAGGCCGTGCAGATCTTCTTGTACATTCCCATCTGGTACATGAACGACGGTGGTGTTGGTAGCATCCAGAGCAACCAGGGCGCTGCCATGACTAGCGAGGGAGCACCCAACGATCTTCTCAACAACTTCAACCCTCTGACCATCCTTGTCGTTTCCCCCTTCATGGCTCATATTGGTTATCCTTTCCTCGCGGCTAGGGGAATCAAGTTTGGTCGTATCTCGCGAATGACCTTTGGTTTCTCCCTGGCTATTGTATCAGCTTTGGTTGGTGCCCTTGTCCAGTGGCGCGTATACGAGACCAGCCCTTGGTGAGTGCAGACCGACCTTGAGTGTATATGTGCTCTTGCAATGCTAACTTCTCTGTGAAACAGCGGCTATGAGGCTAGTACTTGTGACGACGTATCACCAATCAGCATCTGGTGGCAGCTGCCCAACGTCATTCTGGGCGCCGCCTCCGAGATCTTCGTCAACGTTACTTCCTATGAGCTCGCTTACTCCCGCGCCCCGGAGCACATGCGCGCGACGGTCATCGCCATCTTCCTCTTCATGGTGGCCCTGAGCAGCGCCTTCGCCCAGATCCTCCTCCCGTCCCTCATCGACCCCCATCTGATCTGGGCCTGGGCCGCCCCCGGCATCGCCCTCCTCGTGCAGACCATCGTCTTCTGGTGGAGGCATCGCGGGATCAACGACGACGCCTTCATGACCTACGAGGAGGACTTTAAGGAGGACTTTAAGAAGCCCATCATCGAGGAGGAGAAGAAGGGTGAGGAGGTCAAGATTTGAGTTTCGGGGTAGGGGGGCTCCCATTCTACACTTGTGGTGGCCTTGTCATTCGCACGATGAAGCCTCGACTGGTGTTTTGTTTGGTCCTGCGAGTAGCGTAGCGTCTCGACATTCCAGATGGTTTGCTTGTTTGTGATGTGGAGGATAGTTCTTTGGTTAGTTAAGTTAATCAGATCTGTTAATATCGGAATAAATAACGATAATATTAACTCTAAACTTGCCGGAGGGACTTTTGTGATGCTGACATTTGCTCATTCATGGTAGCCTCGGGTACCCAGCAACACTACGCATTCTCTGGAAGACGTTGAGTATATCTAAAAAATTATATTAAGTACTGCATATACACATAATAATTAATAAGTACAGATAGAATTAACCAGTCGGTGTGGTGGAACTTGAACAACGTTCCTTACACGGCGATTGTGATCTCCCCGCTCTCCTTGGCCTCCTCAATTAGTTTATTATACTCGGCAAGCTTCTCCTCATAAAGCTTGATGAGCTCATCAGTATCCGTGATCTCTTCGTCCCGCTTGCCGATCGTGGCGTCAAGGCCGGTGAAGGCCCTGGCGAAGGCGTAGAAGACCTCGGCCAGAGCGTTGCAGATGATAGGGAGACGGGTGGATTTGCATTGGGAGTGAAGACTAATGATTGAAAGCAGTTAGCAAATCGCCGTTTCTTGGATTTAGTCCCTTGTGTCCTCTCTATTCTTGGTAGTTCAAGGAGAAGTGCTGGGGACCGTTAGAAGGGAGGGCTCACTCTGTCTGGAACAAGGTGTCGATCTTGGTCTTGGCGCTGCGGGTGAAGCGCTTCTGCTTCCTGTAGTTTCGGTAGCCAAAGTCGCGTCGCTGGCAGGCGGGCTCGAAGGGGAACCCGAGGGGGTTGCCGAGTCCAAAGGCGCAGCCGTCGCTGGTCCAGTCCAGGTCGGCGGGGACCTTGAACTCTCTATGGTCGGAGAAGGAGGAGAGCGTCTCCCCGAAGAGGAGCTGGTCGGTGTTGGCCTCTGGGGTCGGGCAGAAGTCGATGGCGGCAGGGAGGGCTGTGGCCAGCGAGGCCAGGGAGCAGAGTGAGAGAATGGCGGTGGTGTACTTCATGATTAATTATTTATTAATGAGCGTGAGTGACTGGAAGAAATTGGGATATCCGTGAAGAAGAGAAGATCCAGTGGGAAGAAAGAGAAATAAAAAACCTCATTCTTCTTGCACGGCCGTTGCTATTTCAACAACGCACGACGAAATGAGAGCGGGCCTCATGTTCGGTTCCTCGGGGACGAGGTGGTCACACTCATCCGCCTGCCGCACGTGGGCTTGCTGGCGATTTTACCGTACCCAATTTTAAAAATATCGATATTTTCAGGTACGGGAGAACGATTCAGGAAGGCTATAAGATGATATTTCCCGAAGTGGCGGCGACCCAAGACTCGAAGGATCCGAGTTTTCTTGTCTCGCCAACCGACGTTACATCGGGAGCTGCGGAAACGGCAGGTAAGTAGCCACATGGCGATTTTATGCCAGGGGACGTTGAACATTAACATAAGCTTGACCGTATAATCCCCAGTTTGTTCCTCTTTGGGAGCATTGGCAAAAATGCAGCTGTTCAATATTTCCACTAGCCACCTGATTCCCAATTCCCATTTGCATTTAAAGGATCGCTTTCCCTCCCGGCTCTAATTTAAACGTCTCTATAATATGGGCCGACGGCCTCCGGATGGGACGGTTTATGGTTCGCGTGGATGTTCTCGAGCAGGCTGGCAGGTTCAGATTGTCTATCTTCTGGCGCGCTTCTTCAATTGAGATTGAAACTCCTCAGGCAAGATTGGTGTGATTGAAATTTGTGTCATTGCTGCAGTTATGAGTTTGCTCGAAGATTGTACATTTTATTGACCGAATGGGAACACTCTTGGACACAACAAGACATGAGGCAGTCAACAAAATCTCAACTACTCTCAACAGGTGAAGAAGGTGCTCAATCAAAGAAACGACTACGCCTGGAGGCTCAGCTCGGAAATAATTCACGGTCGTCCATAATCTTTCCAGTGAGAGCACATGCAGCCTGATGCGAGAAAATGTCCGACGATTAGGGGCGCGCATCAAACGCTTGAGAGCATCTTTTCCAGGAGCTCTATCGCAATCAAATAGTCCAGGCCCAAGGTCGTTAGATGCGTACAGGGCGATAAGTGGCCAAGCCGTTCCACGTATATGAGCCATGTTAGGAGTGAAGCTTGTGACGGCGAAGTCAACCACTCGGTCAAAGCGGTAGACGCAGCGACTTGGGCAAACGCCCATACGACAGCCACCTTTTCCTAGGCAAATGGATCGCTGCTACCGCACGGTGAATGGCGTAGCCAATCATGGGCGATGCAATTGTGACGTTCGTGGCCGTCCAAGGACCGGGCAAAGAACCTTGGTTCAATCACTACCACAACCAGTGGTAGACAGTAGTCTTCCGTGCTCGAGATCGTGAGGTAAAAAGTATGAAAATTTTCTTTTCTCCGCTGAGTCCAGGTTCTAGCAGACCAAAACAATCCAATGATGGCCCTCAACAATAGGTTAGTATTCTATGCTATTGCTTAGGACCTTTGGAACTCGAGTGTTATTTCTTGCTAATTCTCATTCTGTCAGTACGATCAAACAGTTCCCGCAAATTCAATTCGAGCACCGGGATGAGTCATGTTAGTAAATATCATAAGTGTTGCGAGAGAATCTCCCATTCCCACTCGCGACAGACTGTGTCACGGAGCCCGATCGTAGTTCTTCGTGCAGAATATAGGCTTGGCCAATTAAGTGAAATCCTCCTTGGGGCCTTGGCCGCAAATAGACGGGAGCTCGCTGCCAAACAAGACCACGACTTGGTCCCCAGATTTCATTGTTGATGGACCAAGTCCAATGAACCCCTCCGAGGTGGTAAATGCACGTCGATTGTGTGCCGTCTGGTAGAGCCCTTTAGGATAAGCCTCGGATAGGATTTCGAGATCGTCCCAATCAATGTCTTGATATTCAAATGTGTATTAATGTGTTGTGATACTGGGTATAGTGTCAAGTTGTTAAATTCTTGGTGTTTGGGAATCCCCCCCCTTTTTTTTCAGCAGCTGCATAGCTCTCTCACTTACTACATTCAAATGTGTATGGCTCGACTTCGGGCGACGAGACTTCGTAGAATGTTCTCCTTGACACCACAGTCTAAAAGGGCGATATGCAGAGATGCGCCCTCTGACTCTACTAGAAAAGGGGCCTTCGTGCTAACGTGCGAGACGAGATTCTGCTGTTCGGGATCCGTATAGCCAGCGTCCTCATCCTGGTCGTAGCTTTCTCCCATGGAGATCCTGGCAAGGGAGGAGCCCTCCTCGCGCAGGAAGGTGACGATGGCCCGGGTATCGACGCCAGAGATGATCGGAAAGCCCTCGCGAGCACACCACTTGCTCAAGCTCTCGACGGCCGTCCAGTGGCTATATTGAGTGGCGATATCGGAGACGACCACTCCCGCGCACTGGATGTGGGGGGACTCGAAATACTTGAGTAAGCCGTACTCATCCCGCTCGTTCGATGGAACGCCGTAGTTGCCGATGAGTGGAGTGGTGAAGACCAGTATCTGGCCTCAGTAGGAAGGATGGGTCATGCTCTCCGGGTAGCCAACGAGCGAGGTCGTGAACACGGCTTCTCCGCTCACATTGGCGTTGGCGCCGAACGCTGTGCCTTGAAAGATGGGCCCTCACTATATTCAGAGTCAGTCAATGGCCAGCACGTCGTAATCGCCCGTCGCCTATAACATGCCTGGATTGTGAATGTCGCAGGCATCTTGGTTGCCTCCGCTGTTTCGCGACGGGCGTCAACAGGCATTTTCCTGCCCGTGGTGCCTGTGGGAATGGCCTTCTGGGAGAGAAACCTGGCTTGGAAGGTCGTCCTAGCAGGGGCCACGGCCAAGAGCTTGCGCGCTGGCCTGGCAGCATTGAGCGCAAGTCGGGAAAGCATGGTTGGAGGTTGTCGGAGGAAATATGGTTCAGCAAATTCTCAAAGGCTCTCAGAATGATAGAGACCTCCACAAGTGATCTGTGAGCCGAGAAATGTTAGCAAATGCGACGTCTTGGGCTGGATCGGAGCGGCGATTCGGAGCGGTGAGTCTCTGCGGTTGGGATGTGTCATACCAGACAGATAATCCTATTGGCAATAATGTCAGCGCGAGAACCTCAATTGAACGATTTGAGCATGATGAGATAGAGTAGATGCGTGTCAAACCGAAGCAGGGCAGCGAAAAGGCACAATTGACATGGAAATTTGCCAGAAGCTGGGGATTCCCCCATTGATGGTGGGGGGGCAAATGATCGCACCGATTCACGCCACAAAAAAAGAACAACGTACCTGGGATGTGAAGACTGACTGGCGCCCGTTCATAGGGACGATTTCGCTGGAACTAATACTAGAGGGGAGTATAGGAGTCGATTGAGGGGCGGTTCAGAGGATCTTGAGTGCGGGCGATGGACGATGGGCGAACTTGTTCGGTTTGTGGGTTGAGGGAGACAAGACGCGCCTGGACGTTCTGTGACAAAGACGTCCCTCTTATTTGTCAATTGGCAGGAAATTTCTTATCGTCTTGTCCGCAATCGCTGCCAGGCACCGCGCTTCCGTTTTCTCCAGTGGCTCAGGCTCTTATCTTCCCATTTTTGGCCAGCTCGAGCGCCGATAGAGTTTCGATACGATGGCTCACCTTATAGTCACATAATTGGAAAGTACCAGACAACAGGTAGGCAATAAAGTGAGTTACGGGAGGTTAATAAGCCCGGCATGGCTACTAGATACTGAGGGATGGTACTTGCTGCTGATGGTGGATGCTAACATACGATTCGCAATCTTTGTTAAACTTAGCTGATATCTCACCAGATTCTAGTGGTTACCAATTTTCAATAAATCTCTATCCTTTAGTACTATAGATAAACATCCTTGATAGAGGAATATTTCAGAGATTATAAGAAGACTTATAAGTTTCCCTAAGCCACGAGACCAAGTCTTCGCCCAGCTCCGCCGGCCTTTCAAGAAGCGCCCAGTGACCACCAGGTCTCACAACACTCTTCACGTTGGGAAGCAGTCCAGCAGCGATGCTCCCCTGCAATGCTCCGGGCCTGCAGACTTGATCGTCTTCCCCACCCCAGAAGAACGCTGGGACGTTGACAACCTTTGCCTCTTCTGGAATCGACTTCTCCGCTTCACTTTGAACCCCCTCCTTGGCGGCCTTGTACCAGCAAAGGGATGAAGCAAAACCTCCCTTTTCCGGCTTGAAGCGGCTCTCAAAATCCTTCTTGTGCTCGTCCGTCGCATAGGGCAACACCGGCTGTGTTCGACCGCTGCTGACAAAGTCGCGCATCCCGCCCGGCGAGCACCAGTTCTCGAGCCACGACATGGGGTCTCCAAAGGCAACGCTGTAAACAGAGTCGAGGTTCTTGGCCATGATCTCGGCGGCGTCGTCGGCCGTGAAGAAGTGCCAGTACTCTAGAAGGCCCACCCCAAACGCCGCCTTGGTGGCCTTGTTCGTCTCGTCCAAGTCGAACTGCCCCGTCGGCGGCATGTATGCCACGTTGAGCATCACCAACCCGCTCACACGGGAGGGATGGTAGTTGTAGAAGCGCTGGCACATGGCGCTTCCCCAGTCGTGGCCGAGCGAGATGACCTTGGTCAGCGACTCGGCATCGAGAATCTCAACGGTGTCCCCTGCCATCTTGGGCCACGCGTACTCTTTGGCGTCGGTAGGCCTCGAGGTTTCCCCGTACCCGAGGCAGTCAAGAGCGACCACGCCGTAGCCATTGGGGACGAGGTGATCATTGATGAGGCCGGCCCAGAGACGTGCTGAGTCCGGCCAACCGTGGAAAAGAATGAGGGTGGGCTTTGCTCCTTGAGCTGGGGAGGTGTAGTAGGTGTAGGTGTATCCCCGCGAGACCTTGAGGGTCTTCTTGGTGAGTTTTGAAAGATCCATTGTGGCCAAGCTAATTGAATCGAAACTGAAAGTTTTCCCGAAAACCAGAATCCAAGATGCATGGAGGTTGTGCAGACAGGACCTTATAGTGACCATGAATTTCGGAGTCTTGGTTCCTACCGACGCTGGGTGTTTCAAGGTATGCCCCAGCCGAGACAGCCGGCGATTTCATAACTCCGCCGTTGGACATGAAACCCATGCTTGTAAAGTTCTTATTCTGTGCTAGGGACTCGGGAGTCGGGACGTCGCGTCTGCCGATCCCCTCCTTTATCTTAAACAAAGAGAGGTAGTGGGCACTGACCTCTCACTTGGCAGGGTAAATTGATCGCCTGGACAATGCCCAGCCCCCATTCTGACCGCTGAGATGACATCAGACGGGACAAAACATGTCTCAATCAAATCCATTCTCGTTATTGTCTTGAGGAATGACTCTGTTTGAACAAGCGGTAAGTTCTTCAGTGGAGTCTGGACTCTTCCTTTTGGAAATCGCCGGCGTTTGAACAGCCCAATCAGAAGATGAGCGTTACGGGAATCCAGAGACATAAGCGTTATGGCCAGCCGGTCGGTGGTTTTAGATTCTCCGCCTCCCCACATTTCGGGAGGCGATAGTGAAAGAAGTTGAAGACAGCCTTGGTGTAACCCAGTGTCTGCTAGACCTCTTGCCTCCTTCTCTTTGAGGCCTCGGCTGGGCAAGATCTGCACCATACTCATAGTAAATGTCACGACCCCTGTAGTCGGTAATGTCACTACACAATTCTTCCTTTATTTGGCGGTAGACACATGCCGTTGCTACTCTGGATATCGAATTCCTTCTATTCTTGGCTTATTCGTTTTGGGCTGGAATCTCCACTCGACAACTGAAACTCTTGATCAACGTCGGCTGACGAGAGCAAGGTGGCCACTTTGACCCCGACAATGGAATGCCGGACGAGGGGTAGATCCCACAGTGCCCGGCAGTGGCTAGCACAATGTAAGAGACCAGGGCCCGTAGTCGGATCTGGCCCTTCTCACCGAGTTCCCTCGATTTTGCATTGTGGAAGAATCTGACCCATCTAATATACTTATACAATTTCTCATAACCTTTCCTAAAGCTATAAGGTATCCAGAAATAATTAGCTATAAATATTCCAGATAATTAGCTATAAATAATCCAGATAATTAGCTACAGATTAATATATCTCTATAGTTAGTATACTAATATAATTATATAGTCTGTAGATATAGATTTATTAGTATATAAATAAAATATATTATAGCTTATATTATCTATAAAATTTTACTTTTATACTATAATATACTATAATATATTATAATAATTCTAAGTAAAATATAATATTATAATATTTTATAGCTATACTCTATAGTCTTACTATAATATTATAATCTTTATAATCTTTATAATATTAGTATATTAGAGAGAGATATTATATATTCTATTCTGATTTTAAAATAAATTTAAAAGAAGTTCTCTATAAGATCTATAAGTTTTATTAGTAAAGAAGTTTTTATTAGCTACTTAGTATAATAAATAGTAATACTTACTAACTTTATAGCTACTTAATATAATAGCTTATATATACTTCAGAGTAATAAGATATATTTAGAGTATAAAGATAAAAGAGAACTTTAAACTATTTAATTTAAACTTCTATATAATAGCTATAATCTTTATAAGTATTACTCTAATTAAATATATAAATCTCTCTATTAATAAATTATACTATTTAAGTCTTTCTATAAGTATTATAATTTTTATAATTCTTATCCTAATTAAATTATATAATTAAAATCTCTCTATAACTATTATATATATATATTTATTTTACTAGTTAGAATACTTCTTTAGATAGTTATTAATAATATTATCTATATATTTATTATTACTAGCTTTATAATATTTATATATTAATAATAACTTATATTATATAGCTTATAATAATCTAATTATATTATTTAGAATAATATTCTAATTAGTTTAATTTTAACTTATTTTAAACTTTATTTAGTATAAATTATTTAATTATTATATATTAATAACTTTTATTTAACTAATTATTTTATCTTAATTACTATATAATAATAAAGAAAATATTATAATTATTATAGTTTCTCTAGCTTAATAGTAAAATTCTATTACTAATAATTTATCTACTCTAAATAATAATAATACTATAGATAAAGATAGTAATAATAATAATAATAAAAAAGATAATAATATTAAGATTAAGTTTCTATAAGCTTAAGTTCTTTAGCTTTAGAAATATTTTATAATTATATAATAAGAAATAATTATTATTATTACTCTTATAGAGTAATAAACTACTTAGAATATTAATTTTTAAATCTAAGCTTAAATTATAATTTAGAAAAAAGAACTAGAAATACTATTTAAATTATTATTATTTAAAATATTTAATAAAATTTAAAATAAACTTTAAAGCTTTATAATCTAATTTTAAATATATTTTAATTATTTTCTTATTACTTTTAATAATAATAAATAGTAAATTATTTATATCTATTTATAATTTAAAAAAGTTATATTTAATTAGTTTAAACTTATTATAAAGAAATATCTTAATAATTAAAAAAGCTAATAAACTATTAATATTATAATAATTTTAATTATTTTATAAAAATTCTTTAATAAATCTTTAGAATTTAAAATAAAAAATATAAAATTAAATATAAAATTAATAAACTCTTTTAAACTAGATTTATATTTACTTTTAATAATAAATATCTCTAGCTTTTAGTAAAAACTAAATAGAACTAGAAATATATTATATTTTATTATTTTAATAAATTAAAGAAAGAAATTTAAAAGAAACTCTATAAGAAAAATAGATTAATAAGTATTTATAAATATATAATTATAATTATAAGAATTAATAACTAATAGTATTATTAATAAACTTATAGTAGAAAAATAATATATTATATTAATACTAGTTAGCTATAATAATAATAATAATCTATAGTCTTTAGAATATATATAAATCTTATAAAGCTAGAAGCTATAGAAAAATATAAATATTATAATTATAATAAAATTAGATATATTTTATCTTAATATCTAAAGTTTAAAAAATAAAAAAATTAGAAATCTATTAGAGAAAATAAAAAATAATTAGAAATAACTAGAAAAACTAAGATTAAAATACTTAAAATAGTTAGAAAAACTACTTAAGAAGAAAACTATATAATTACTATAATTTCTATATTTTCTAGAAAATCTATATTAAAATTCTATAAAATATTAAAAACTAATAAGAAAAAAAATAAATAAATAATATTAAAGAAAAACTAATAGTATATTATAAATATCCTCTAAGAACTTAAATAGAAATATAAGAATAAAAGAAATATTATAAACTATAAATCTCTTATTAAATATAAGTATATATTTTATTATATTAATAAACTTATTAAATATACTTCTTATTATACTATATAGGCTTTAATACTACTATAGCCCCTAACTAGAAGGCTATAGCAGGTCTTTTACTATAGATAGTTAGAGTACTATTTTAGATATAATAGTTAGTAGTAATTCTATCTGATTATAGATTTAATCCCTATACTAGTCTGTATATATAGAGCCTAGATTAGGGCCTCTGGAGATCTACTATAGAGTCTAGCTATAAGGCTTTAAACCTTAGAGGCCCTATAATAGCCTAATAGACCCCTGCTATAGTAGTTCTTATTACTAAGATATAAAGCAGCTAAGTACTATAGCCCTGAGAGCAGAGCTATCTCTCTTATTATAGAGGGGTACTTATTATACTATATAGACTCTAATACTACTATAGCCTCTAACTAGAAAGCTATAGTAGGTTTTTTACTATAGATAGTTAGAGTACTATTTTAAATATAATATTTCTAAGAAATAGAACTAGTATATATTTACTAAGAATAAAATTAAAACTAAATATAATAAACTCTATATCTACTACTAGTAGAAGATATAGATATAAAATCTTAAAAAGATATATAGAATAGTATTATATAGAAAGAATATTATAAATACTATTTAATACTTTAGTAATAAGTATAAGAATCTAATATATATAAATACTAATAGAAAATATAATTATAGATTAGAATTTTAAATAATATACTATAATATCTAGTATACTATATATTAATAAAAAAAAGTATTAAATAATTTTTTTCTATTTTCTAATAGAAAAATATCTAGAAAGTATAATATAGTTTAAATATAATAATTTATATATTAATACTATAAAATAGAATTCTATACTATCTTTAAAAAAGATCTAGAGAAATACTCTAAGGATTATATAAAAGAAAAACTTCTAATAAAAATATATTAAAAATAAAAATATAAGATTTATAAGAATAATAAGATTAAACTATAGTATAACTATTAATAAATAAAAGAATAAATAATATATAAATATAATAGCTATATTAAATAATATTATAATTAGAATTATAGAAATTATTAAAAGATTAAATAAGAAATACTAATATTAGTATAGAATAATAATAATAATATAAATACTATTAAATTATATTTTAAATAGTAATAACTATAGAAGAAAAAACTCTAAGAATATTATTTAAAAGAATAACTATTTTCTATAAATAGTAAAAATAATAATAAAATAGAGAAATAGAGAATAATCTTAATTAATAAAAAGAAATAAGATAAAGCTTACTCTAATAATAGAATATCTATAATAATTAAGAAATTATATAATTAGAGAATTAAGTTTATAAAATATATCTCTAGTTATATAAAAGAACTAGAAAATCTTAAGAATATTTTTAAATAAATATTAAAAAATAATAAAGATTAAAAATAACTTTAAGAATAAATTAATTAAATAAAAAATAATTTAAATTATTTATAATAGAGCTATAGTATAGAATAATATTAATAATAGATTAGAAAACCTTAGAAATTATAAAAGTAAAAAGTTCTATATATATTCTTATAAAAATAAAAATTAAAAGAAACTAGTTTATAATAT